TCATATCTGAAGAAAATGTCACAGGATTTTCATAAGTGCCAGAAACACAAGGCTAAAATTAAGTGTGGGCATGAGGGTCTCAATTGAAGAGCACAAATTGTAAGTATGGAGATAAAATCTAGAGCCAAACAAGAACGAGTTTATCAAAGCGTACCCTTTCCATCTCTTTGGTGGCACTAACATTGGAACATAAGGAATTATCATATGCTTAGCCTGCATGAGACAAGAATAATAAACTATCATCTAAAAGCTCATGAATGGAATAGCTGTAAATCAGAAATGAAACGTTGTCACTCACAGACTTATCCAGCCCTGCAAGGAGAAGCGAGTCACATTCAATAACTCCATACCTCCTCACCAGCTTTGATCTACAAAGTCCGAATTTTCTTAGATAAGTATTAAAGTATAAGACAAAGAGAGAAATGCAAACTTACGATTTTGGATTCTTTCTAAACTGGTACGAAAATGAAGATGCATATATGGATTCTTTCTCACCCTGGATATTTGGTCACGGTTTTAAACTTGTGTCTGAATGCAGGTCGAAACTCAGGTATAGAGTCTCCTGACTGGGTCAGAGGAGGTTGTACATAAGCTGTTTCAATCAATAGTTCTAGCAGACGGCTTCCAAGCTGGAAATTTGATATGAGTACAACAACAAAGATTAATCTTTTACTATCGAAAAGCAATTATAATAAATTTCACTAAAAAGGGATAAAAAAACACCACAGACCTTAGCTTGTGTAGCTCGCCCCCACGGTTTGATACCTTCACTTTTCACCACTTTTAGTGCATCAATAATTCTTTTCCTTCGAATCAAACTATTAACACGTTTCCTAAGCAATTGCTTTTCTTTCAATTCCTCTTGTGAGTCCCCTGCATTGTTCTTCCGAGTTCTCTTCAAGAAGTTGTGAATTCTCACCTAAGAGATCAACCAAAACCACAACTCAGTAAATCATTTCTTCATTGAAATAAACTGACTATCCATTTCATACCTCCTGCTCAATAGCTATGCCAATACTGACAGCAGCTTGAACAACTTGGATACACCCATCTTCATGTCCGGACATAACCAAACCCATCATCTTATGCATCACAATAACCGCCATTTTATCAGCAGGCAAAAGCTCAATATGAGGCGCATAAGCTGCTCTAACCTTCTTGCTCTTGTTCTTCTGCAACTTCTGCTCTCTCTCAATCACATCTTTCAACGGTTGAAACCACCCTAAGAACATATGTTTCACATAAGGCAAATTCGGAGCTAGGTTCTTCTCACACATCTCCTTCTCCAAATCTCTGTACTCATCCACCATCTTCTCCCACGCTTCAGTCTCTTCCTTCACTTGACGTCTCCTCAAGGAATCAAATTTCCTCTTATCGATGTACTTGTGCTCGATTTTAACAGTCTGATCAACCATTTTACTCAAACCCTTGAGAAACAAAGCAGAGATCCATGGTGGGTCTTGCATAAACAGCCTCCTCCGACCAGAAAGTCCATTCCTTTCGACAGGATTCTCAAGCTCCTCAATCAAGCTTGCTCCTTTAATGGTTCCGGCGTATGAAGAGTCCTGATTCTCGAAGCTCTCGATGAGATTGCCGTGGAAATGGACGGAATTCGAAATGGGTTTCTCGTGAACAGAGAGAGAAGTAGAAGAGGAAGAAGAAGAAGAAGAAGCTGAAATTGGAAGTGAGTGGCGTTCGAAGAAAGGAAGGGTTTTGCGGCGGTAGAGGGCGGAGGAAGGAGGTTTAAGCCAGGTGACGAGGGAAGTTTGGTGTTGGAAGTGAGAGGATTGGTTTAAGGAGAGAGAAGGAAAAGCCGCCGCAGCGGAAGCCATGGAAGGAAGGAGGAGAGAGTAGAGGATAAGGTATTGGTCTCGTGAACATTTGAAGAAGAGAAAGAAACTTTGTGAGAGCAACAATCCAACAAACCTCTCTAAAACCTCTACTCTTTTGTTTTTTTTCACTGATAGATATTTCCCCCAAAACTATATATATTTTATAAAAAAAATCTATTTCTAGAATGTTATAAAATATGATGACAGAAAAACAATAATATAGTGAAATATGCATTAAAAAAGTTATTTAAGAAACAAATTTAGGTTGACACAACCCAGAAATTTTTTTTTATAACTATACAATTTATACTATGTAGTTAAGCTACTTGGATTACTGTTGTTGTAAAATATAAAACAATATGCGTTTTAATTTAATAGGATTTTGGATTAAGTACAAATATTTCAAGAAAATTCTATTATATTTCTAGAATAATTTTATCAACATTGTATAGGAAAGAATAATTATATGTTAGGGAATTATTGTTATATGTGCTTATGGCTACTTGAAAAAGAAAAAAAAAATAATATTTTTAATGTAACTACTGGTTTCGGTTTAAGGATGTAAACAAGTACGAACTTTGTGAAGATGCAGTTCTAGAACAGCTTGCTGTGAAGATCAGGAAGCTGCATCTGTTCAGACGCCTGAGACCACATCAGACGTCTGGGATCACATCAGACACTTGAAGTTGCTGACATGGAGTCGTGAGATGACGTGACAAAGCTTAAGTGGATGGAGTGACGTGCTAAGGAAGATTTCTTGCTTGGCAGCAAAGATAGAGACGAATTGCGTGTGAAGATATGGTGAATATTCTTTACATCAAATAAGGAAAGGATGAGCTTGACAAGCAAGCATATTCCGTTTCGGTGAGATCCTCAAAGATCCTAGGGTTAGGGTTTCGGGTAGTTAGTATAAATAGTCTAGGGTTGGCCACGAGCCACTTTGAACACTTTAGACTCTTTGTACGTGATTGTAAACCTCGAAGCTAGCAAAACAAAAATCTGAGAAGGTGAGTGTTTGTTTTCTCTTGGGACTACACGGGTGTAGGAGAGATAGGCTTAGTGCTCGTTCTTTAGTCGGGTTCAATTCTATTGGGAAGAATAGATTGAGTAAGAGCCGAGACAAAATTGTATCCTAGGAAAAGATAAATTTTGTTAATAAAGATCGAAAGGAAAAGCGTTTGCTTGGCGCGTTCCAAGCGTAACTGTCTGTGTGTCTCTCTATACGTTTTCACTTTGTTCCATGGACAGACATATACATGAAAGTGTTACATTGTTGATGTAGAGGAAATAGTTTTTTGGCTTTTAGAGGAAGACGCTTCACACGAATGTCGTTGGAACTTATTTAGACAAAGTGATCAAAGATAGAATCGTTGTCGTGAACACTACATGTGGTGTATTGGATTGTCAAAAACGGAGTTTGTTCGAATGAGAAATAGAAGTTCAAAGTAGTTAACTTGTTAAGCTCGAAATTTTGACTAAGGCTTCGAATGGAGAGAGCGTATCAATTAGAGTAGATTACACAAATCTTGCAGATCGAGCGGATCATACAGATCGAGCAAAACAAAAGTAGATCAAATAGAACAAATGCACATCAAGCGCTTCGAATGCTTTAAAATATTTATATATATTAGATAAATTAATATTAAATAAAAATAAAAATAAAAGACATAACTCACCACATACGCCCTTAATTAGGTATGGGTGGACTGCTTTGCTTATTAGAGAAAAAAAAAATATTTTCATTTTTTTCTAAACGTTTTTTCAAAAGCAGTTCAAAATCAGTGTATCTGCTAAATACATTTTTTTGTTTGAATAAAAACATAAAATAGATACTTTATTTTAACTGATTAACTGTTCACCATAAAAATCAATTGGATCATTTTTGAGACTAGAGGAGAAATCCAAACATACATGGGTTAGATTTTAAAGTTGAGGTTGGGGAAATAGGCTTACAACCCATATGTGATCATTATTTTTCCAAACTCATTTTAAGTTGTTGACTAATTTCAACATAATATCTCCTCTTTCAATGTAAAAAAAGAGAACCCAACATGAGAAATGTGGTGATCAATGCCATTATCAGTATTGCCCACATAAATGGTTGGGGAAGAAGGGTTGTTGCTGCTATAAACACTGAGCCTCTCTTCTCACTTTGGGCATCGATCATGCCATGGCCGTATCTTGAGATCCATCTGCTCATATAACCATCATAACAATTTTACATCGCGATTTTAGCTCAATTTCTTTTATTATTTTTAGTAAGCTCTACTAGAGCTAGTTTAAGCTTTGCTTTGGAACAGTCTCAAGTCTAAACAAAAACGAGATAATTAGATTAAAATATATGACGCTATCCGCGTACGAAACGGACCATATTGTGATGAGTAGCAAAATCACGAAAGACAAAAGTTCGATATTGGACCAACAAGTTGCAACAACTTTAATCTAATCTATAACGTAACACTATTATATAAAAACCAAGAAGGTAGTAGCTAGTTGCATTGTTGTGGTGGGCTAGGGACCTAGGGTTAATTAATTTATATCTTATATGAACCCTAAACCTCAGTGCTTAAGTACCCAAATCATAACCAAGCCATCTTCATATAATCTTAATTTATTTTGCTCTCTAATAATCATCATGTTACACACCCATTTGACATATAAATTATGGTCGACATGGAAGCCACATCGGACCTTGTTAAGGATACACCACCCCTGTAGATTGTTATATGATATTTTCACTATTATTTTAACACATATCACCCACTAATCTCACTCCTAAACCCATTTCACAAACGTGACTATTTAGTCTAATCTAATCTAGTATACACTTTTTTCAATAATAAAAAATCTCATGATGGAGTTAGGCCTTAAGCTAGTTTCTATGCTGACATATTACACCACTATACCAAAATTAAAAAGTTAACCACACGGCATTTATAAAAAGAGTTACACACGCGTTCACACCTCATTGGGTTGACTTTATAAGTCAAACATCATAGGCGCCAATGTCCTAAAGTTTCATGTTCTTCTTCAAACGTCAGTTAGGCAGAAACTATAAAAGAGATACTGTCTCTCTTTGATTGTAATTGTCTAACATTTACATATATATGTTTGTGTATGTATAGTCAAACACCATTTTTGTCTCTTTGTTGTCTCAACTTAACACAAATGGGTTCTTGTTCTTGTTCTTTGTTGTTTGTCTCGTTCTTGATCACTGTTATGACCGTTCTTGCTTCTAAAGAGAACGATCATGAGTTATTACAACGTGATCAAGACTCTTTGCTTTCTTTGAAATCGTTCATTGTTTCAGATCCTCATAACTCTCTAAGCAGTTGGGTTTCAGTTTCTTCTTCTTCTAATACTTCTTCTGTTGGTGTTTGTAACTGGTCTGGTGTGAAGTGTAACAAAGAGAGCACCCGAGTTATAGAGCTAGACGTCAGTGGTAGAGATCTCCGCGGTGTCATCTCACCGTCCATTGCTAATCTAACAGCTTTAACGGTTCTTGATCTTTCAAGAAACTTCTTCAAAGGAAAAATCCCACAAGAGATAGGCTCATTGCATAGAACCTTGAAGCAGCTAAGCCTCTCTGAGAATCTCTTACAAGAAAACATTCCACAAGAGCTTGGTTCGTTTAACCGTCTTGTTTATCTCGATCTTGGAAGCAACCGGTTAACCGGTTCAATCCCGGTTCAGCTCTTTTGCAATGGCTCTTCTTCATCTCTCCAATACATAGACCTCTCCAACAATTCTTTAACCGGAGAAATACCTCTAAAGAAGGAATGTCATCTCAAAGAGCTTAGGTTTCTTCTCCTCTGGTCCAACAAGCTCGTCGGGACTGTCCCGTCTTCGCTATCGAACTCTACAAATCTCAAATGGATTGATTTGGAGTCAAATCTGTTAACAGGAGAGTTACCTTCTCAAGTCATAAGCAAGATGCCACAACTTCAGTTTCTTTACCTTTCTTATAACCATTTTGTTAGCCACAACAACAACACCAACCTCGAACCGTTCTTCGCCTCTCTCGCCAATTCCTCTGACCTACAAGAGCTCGAGTTAGCAGGAAACAGCCTTGGAGGAGAGATTTCTTCTTCCATAAGGCACCTCTCTGTAAATCTTGTGCAGATTCATCTTGATCAAAACCGTATCCATGGCTCTATACCTCCAGAGATATCAAACCTTTTGAACCTAACCCTTCTAAACTTGTCGAGTAACCTCTTGTCCGGTCCAATCCCGCTTGAGCTATGTAAGCTAAGCAAGCTCGAAAGGGTTTATCTCTCGAATAATATCTTAACCGGAGAAATTCCCATGGAACTCGGGGATATACCTCGTCTTGGTCTTCTTGATGTTTCAAGAAACAAGCTCTCTGGTTCAATCCCTGATACTTTTGCAAACCTTTCTCAGCTGAGAAGACTTTTTCTATACGGTAACAATCTCTCTGGTACGGTCCCTCAAAGCCTTGGAAAATGTATCAATCTTGAGATTCTTGATCTCTCTCACAACAACCTCTCAGGGAAGATTCCTGTTGGAGTTGTCTCCAATCTTAGAAATCTGAAGTTGTATCTTAACCTCTCTAGCAACCACTTAACCGGGGGGATACCTTTGGAGCTAAGCAAAATGGATATGGTTCTCTCCATTGATCTGTCTTCCAACGAACTCTCGGGGAAGATTCCACCTCAGCTCGGAAGCTGCATTGCACTAGAACATCTGAATCTTTCAAGAAACGGTTTCTTTGGTATGCTTCCAACATCATTAGGCCAATTGCCATATCTGAAAGAGATAGATGTGTCTTTAAACAGATTAACTGGAGCTATACCGCCTTCTTTTCAGCAGTCGCCGACTCTCAAGAACTTGAACTTCTCCTTCAACTTGTTCTCCGGGAACATATCTGATAAAGGATCATTCTCTAAGCTGACTATTGAGTCTTTTCTTGGAGATGCTCTCTTGTGTGGTTCTATAAAAGGGATGCAAGCCTGCAAGAAGAAACATAGGTACCATTCTGTTCTTCTACCGGTTCTGTTATCGTTGATTGCAACTCCTGTTCTGTGTGTTTTTGGGTATCCTCTGATCCAAAGATCAAGATTTGGAAAGAATCTAACAGTGTATGACAAAGAAGAGGTGGAAGATGAGGAAAAACAGAACCGAAATGACCCGAAATATCCAAGAGTATCGTATGAACAGCTCATAGCTGCAACTGGAGGTTTCAATGCTTCTAGCTTGATTGGTTCAGGAAGATTTGGTCATGTTTACAAGGGAGTTCTCAGGAACAACACTAAGATCGCGGTTAAAGTACTCGATCCAAAGACCGCAGTGGAGTTCTCGGGGAGTTTTAAAAGAGAATGTCAGATCTTGAAGAGAACAAAGCACAGGAACTTGATTAGGATCATTACAACCTGCAGCAAACCTGGTTTCAAGGCTCTTGTTCTGCCACTGATGCCAAATGGAAGCTTGGAGAGGCACTTATACCCGGGAGACTACTCGAGCAAGAACTTGGATTTGATTCAGTTGGTGAACATATGCAGCGATGTCGCGGAAGGAATAGCTTACTTGCATCACTATTCACCTGTCAAAGTTGTTCACTGTGATCTCAAACCGAGCAACATCCTTCTTGACGATGAAATGACCGCTCTGGTTACAGATTTCGGGATTTCAAGATTGGTTCAGGGCCTTGAAGAAACAGTTTCTACAGATGATTCAGTATCATTTGGATCAACAGATGGATTGTTATGTGGATCAGTTGGTTACATTCCACCAGGTATATACACAATTCTCAAAACATCATTAAAGTTTCACTTAGTAGTCTCATTAATCTCTAAACTAAATGGTTACTTATTACATTTTCATCAGAATATGGGATGGGGAAACGTGCATCAACCCATGGAGATGTGTACAGTTTTGGGGTACTCCTACTAGAGATTGTAAGCGGAAGGAGACCAACAGATGTTCTTGTCAATGAAGGATCAAGCTTACACGAGTTTATGAAGTCGCATTACCCGAATTCTCTAGAGGGAATCATCGAACAAGCGTTGATTCGATGGAAACCGCAGGGGAAACCAGAGAGATGTGAGAAGCTATGGAAAGAAGTCATAATGGAAATGATTGAGTTGGGATTGATATGTACTCAATACAATCCTTCAACTAGGCCTGACATGCTCGATGTAGCACACGAGATGGGACGGCTTAAAGAGTATCTCTTTGCTTGTCCTTCTCTTTTGCATATTCCATCTCAAGATACACATGGAGAAGCTAGTTCATGATGGTTTTCTGATGAATCAATATTTCAGAAAGTTTTGATGATTGTATTCATTCTTTTAATGTTTTTTCTTGGATTCTTGAATTAGATTTTTGTGGATTAAAGTCTTGTTCATATCAAAATCAACCAACCAAATCTTCTATTTCACATTCATTGGTTCACAATTTTAAAATGTTAAGGATTAGGTGTGTTTTGTTGTAATCATGATCATATCTTATGTGTGTGCTATGAATCTAGCAATTGAAGCTTCTCCTAATCTTCCATTGCATTATAATTTTATCATAACCTCTCTTTTTTTTTGCCTAACTTTGGATTAAAAAACAAAATTTGTAGCAGAGGATTTATATTGTAAGTGGAAGCTGATGATGTCTACCTAATAAATAATAATCTCTCCAATGTCTTAATCATTAGTCCTTTAGTAGTTTAATATTTTCTAAATTAAGTAATTGAATGACATCAACAACGGTCAACATGCCATCAGATTTGTCTCTTTCTACTGTCTTAGAAAGAAGTGATGAGCCAAGAAACAAAAGCAAAAACAATATTTTTAATACATAAACTTCATATTTTATCATGTCACATGTAAAATGTCGATATTTGCATCATTGTCTTATCGTCACTAAAGTAGTTTCAGTAGAAACATATATAGCTTTGTCTTAACGACAGTAATGGACAAAAAAGAAGATGCTATAGAAGAAGCTAGAAGTGATGATGAGGTAGGTGCAAAAGAGAAAAATGATATTTTCAAGTGCATAGCAAATCCGGATACGCACACAAAGAGGACGGTATAAGTCCGTAAAAGAGATGAGGTTTGCTTCTTGAATGTGACATCCAACAGAGGATATGAGTAATCTCAAAGTTGTGGTGAACTGAAAATGTTGCCTCCTTTGATAGTGACAACAGGATCTTATAGAAGTAAGATAGTGAAAGGAATAGTTTTTGGGATTAGTATAGGCTTTAGAATGTGGAGAGAGCTATGATTACGAACGAATAAGCATGAGAAAAGATTATGCTAAGACAAAACTAGAAGAAGTTTGGTCTGATTGCTACTGTTAACCTTATTTGCAACCAATCAAAGAAAGGCTTTTATCTATTTGCTTATGACTATGCAAGACTCCAAACCAAAGACAATGTAAAATTGGTGACTGTGAGATTTAAGATTTTTCTTTTGTGCTGAAATGACAAAGCATTCACAAAACTCTTCAGGTTGGTAAATTTCACTTTCATGGTTCTCTTATTTCATCCTTTTTAGTCCACCAAACTATGAACAAGTATGATTAAAACCATGAAATATCTAGAGAATATAAGACGATTTGTTTTTTCTCAAAGACTCAAACTTTACAGAAGATATGGATCTTACTTCAAGCAAGAAAATGCAAGTACAATCGTAATCACACTCTTTAACTAATCTCAATAACAGACTATGAGATTCTCAAAGTCTGTATACTTTTCAATCAGATCAAGATGTTCTTGCTAGTTGTAAATATCATAACTCTCCCTAAAATTGTCATCTCAAGACGAAAGGGTTCCTTATAGCCAGAAGTAAAGCATTGCCTGTTTCAATAAACATGTCAAGATTTTGTTAGCACTTATAATTACTACCTGAAATTTATTGCAAGAAGTTGATTTTACCATACCTCTTGAACAGAAACAACAGCTGAGTCATAACCAAACATTGCAGATTGCACAGAACTTAACTCTTCTTCTGATTTTCTCTGTAACAGATTCATATTTTCTTGCTTTATTCCACTAGTTTGAGCTGGCTCTTTGTTGCATTTCTCCATCTCAAGCCTCTCTACTCTCTCTTTCAAACGTTGCAACTCAGCCTGATACTCTGCATCGTTTACAGAACAACTTCCCCGCAGATGATCTATTTTTTCCTTTCTCTCTTTTCTCTGTTTTGATGACTTCTTGGACATTTTTTTCACCAAAACATCAGGTTTACACAAACCCTTTTCTCCATTCTTAGTTTCAGACTCCTGCTTCAGATTCTTGTATTGATCTTTTACAGAATCTCGAAAATTCGTTAGCTCTTTCAATTGCTCATCAAGCTTCTTGATCTCCTCCCAATACAGATCAAGATTCTTCTCCTTCTCCCTTCTTGAATCCAAGCTCTGCTCTATAACTCCCTTCTCCACAGTAACTGTATTATTCGGTTCAGGAGACGGCGTTTGAGACCTATCGCAAAACCTTACACAATCCTCATCAATTCCATTACATCCCATGCTCACAAGCTTGCATCTATAGGCATGTAATTCACACTCAAGATTCTTGATTTCAACATCTTTCTGGTAATTCAGATCCTCCAAAAGCTCCATCGAAAATTCCGCCAGCAACATTCTCTCCTCAACCATTCTCTTGTACTGGCTAGCTTCCATAGCAAGCATCGCCTTTTCGCCTTGAAGCCTAAGTATCATGGACATGGCTTCACTCGCCGAAGACGCAGTAGCTTCTCTTTCAGCATCCAACTCTCCTTCAAGCCTCTCCACATCTTCTTTCATCTCATAAAGAGCTATTCTAAGATCCGTGGACTCAAGTCCACGCGTATCTAAGCTGTAGCTTCTCTCTACCATATTGCAATACATAATCTTTGGATTCAAGAACTTACTTCTTTATACCACTAGATTGTATCAAAGACTATATAGTTCCTAGAATCTAGAGAACAAGAATCTAAGTAATGGTACCTGGTTAAGTTGTAGAAGAAGAAGAACACAAAGATTTGTCGACGAGCTAGTCTACAAAATTGGCTCAGAAAGATGTTAAGAAACGCTTTCTCCGGGAAATTATTGTTTATAATAAGGACACATTGGAAACTAAAAATGTTAAATTAGACAAAATTATACCTAATAAATGGAAAAAGGACCAAAAAAGGAAAAATTTATTCATTCAGACAAAACACGCTTGACCAACAAAAACCATTATTATGCTTTTGTCCATATCATGAAAAGCAAAAAAAAAAAAGTTTCTTAATTTTGTAAGTGCCATTCATAAATTGTGAGAGGAAAAAAAAGGTTAATAGTCTTCGAAAATAATTATGAGATACCAAGAAAAGAGCTGATAAAAATCAATGAAACTTTGAATGCTTAATGTGACTCATTGAACAACTAGAAAAAGGTTTAGTATCATAATCAGTCAAAAAAAAAATAACATTATCAGTCAAATATCTAGAATATTGATGAAACTTTGAATAATGAAGAAATCTTATATTTGGATCTTCTTTATTCTTGTTGAAATCTAGTACTTATTCTTTAGTATCATTTAAAAGGTAGTTGATCCATAATTTTTAAGTCTACAACGGCTCATTACAAAGACTATGTATTAGCTCATGTAGGGTTTTTAAATCTTTAACAAATCATAAACTTGAGATGTTGAATTTTGTGGAATTTAATGGTTTCTCCACTTGACAAATTAACTGGAATTTCAAATGTTTAGATAACTATTAAAATAAGAAATCCGTTGGTCACAAAATAAAAAATGCATTCCAACTAATTGTCAAGAAGATATCTTGAATTTTTGTAGAATTTATTAGAAAACGAACCATGTTTTGGTTTTCTTCTTTGAGAAATTAGAAATTTATCATTTTTAATCCAAAAAGAAAAAAAATTATGTTTGAAAAGATTGCAATATTGATATTCAGATAGATTGTTTTATTAGTTCGTCGAAATTTTTGGCCCATATATCATCAAAAAAAAATCCGCAAATTGAAACGCATATTCGCATATATTAAGCAGGTTGGATTAGAATTTTAAATTTTATGACCGCGGATCAAAACGAATAAGCCCAACAAAACCCACAAAAAAAAAACCATCAGTGGATAGGGGTAAAACCCCGCGGAATAGCCTTAATTGACAGCTCTAGTCATATGTCACGAGAACATCATAGACGTAGAAGAAAGGAGACAACAAACCATTGTTCATAATATGTGATACAAAGTTGATGTACTCCGTTCAATGATGACACCAAGGAAACCATATCAGCAAAGGTGATCATACCTGTACTGTTACGTATAGAATCCTTGATGATGATATTGTTTGATATCGTGTAGCGGTCATATTTTGTACGTCACAAACCTCAGTTTTAGACAGAGGATCACATTGATTATTTTTTTTTCTACTAAAGAATAGCATATCAATAGTCTTACTAATACAAGACAGAGAGCCTAATAGAGTAGCCAATTCCAAATGTTAAGCATGCAATGTTTATATCTTAAGCAGAATGATATGAACCCTTACACTATTCCTAGTATGTCTAGCTAAAAGGCTTAACCACATTAAAAGGACACTGTGAAGTTCTAGACAGATGAACAATACCTCAGATTCTATTACAAACCTTCAAAACCAGATTTTCCAAACTAGAATTGCTATTAGACTCTTTATTTCCTTTGGAGCATCCTTTTGCAACTTAACCTTCACATAAATAGTTATAGCTTTCCTCTGTATTCGTCCTTTCTCATGATTTCTTCTCTTCCAAGGAATCAATAAATGCATACATTCTGCTTAAGTAATCAGACTCTCAGTTACATATACGAAAATAGCCATGGACAGTTCAATGCAAACCAGCTATTAGACCGCATACATAGGAATGTAAAATCGCATAAAGCTCACTAACAAGAAGGGGTAGCCCTTAAAAAATCAATGATGAGAAGAGTGGTCACACAATGAGCAAGAGCACCAAAGACTACAAACACATGAAATATCTGATGGCTATGTCCTGCCATATCAAACGCACCAGGCTTCCATCTCTCAGGCACACGGCTAACATAAAACGCTGCTCCCAAAGCATACGACAAACCCGTGGCAATCTCACAACCGAGGGCAATGAACACGTTAGGGTGATCCCAGTAAAGACAAAGCACATGTGTAGCTGGTATCACAGCAGATGATCCCATTGCTAGGAAAAGATTTGCTCTGAAAGCTCTGAACCTCGGCGAAGAGAGAGCTGGCGAGAGGAGAGTGATGATGGCGAGGACACCGAGGAATGAGATCGAGAACAAGTAGAGTATACGGAAGTTAGGGTGGCAGGAGAAAGCGTAGTAGATTGGTGCAAAGAAAGAAGCAACGATCATAAGTGAGATTCCTGCGTAGTCTAAACGCCAAAAGAAGAGGTTGAAACGTTTTGAGTGACACGCAAGGAGGTGTGAAACAGAGCTGCAGGTTAAGCAACACATTGCTCCGGTTAAGTAGACTAGCCATGGCCATTTCGGAACAGCTTCTTCTTGAGTGTTAAGACATGAGGTGTGTTGTGTCACGTTCGAATCCTGCTAAAGAGAAGGAATCTTTTTTAAGTTTAGTCATGTGAAATGAGAAAAGGATCATTCTTTATTCTCTTTTTCTCAAAACTTTATGTGATCTTTTGGTGGGCTCAAAGCACAAGAGAGAAGAGAAAAGATCCAAGAAATATTTCGAAAACAACAACACATGGTGGGGGCATTTTATCACTACTTTACATGATTAGAAATGAAAAAAAAGATGTTTTAAAAAAAAAAAGAAGGAAACGAAAAAAAGATTTTGCCAAAATAAAAAAGAAATGATAAAAGATTTTTGCACAAAGAAAAATGAAATGAAAAAAAAAAAAGATTTTTGCACAAAAAGAAGAAAATGAAATGAAAAAGATGTGGTTTACACTTATAAAATGTTTTCGGATTGTATATTGTTTATTAATCATATGTATTTACTAAGTTAGAGATATTTCAGTTTGATGTAAATTAAATCAATTTTAACTAATAAATATAGAAAATTTCATGTAAAAACTTTGTTAAAAAATCAAAATACCCTTTTGTTTCACACATATTTCAAACATAATATATTTTTTTATTTAAAATACTAGATGTACAATTTATATAACTTTTAATTTAATACACTAATAATTAAATAAAAATAACTAAAATGTAAAGATTATTAGCTTTGATTTCAGAAGTAAACTAGAATTTAAAAACTAATATTTTCTGTATTCAACATGTCACATAAAGATAAGATAAGACGGCAATTAAAAATTGTCAATAGAAAGTAGAAAAGCCCAAATATACACATTAAAAAATGAAAAAAAATGTCAAAAGAAAACAAAAGAAACTTACGTGAAGCAAAGTCTGATTGCTCGAGAGGCAAATCCTTACTCTATCGTCATGTCCCAATAGACACATACCCCCAAAAACAAACAAAGCTAGTTTCAATAATTTTGGTTATAACTTTTAAAAACACTTAAGCAAAATGACTATCTTAACCTCGGTGGTTCTTACCCGGCCATCCCGTTGAAAACACCGCCGAGACTAAGCTCCGTCGTCTCCAAGCAACTCACCACCGTCATCCACAAAAATATCGCAAACCCCAATAAATGCCTAAACCAATATAAAAAAATATCAAAAAAAAACATCAAATGTAACTAAGTATGAGAAAGATTTGATTATTTACGTACGTCCATATATTGAGAGTCTCGTTGTGCCAAGAGAAAGCACTAAGAAAAGTATCTTTAAGAGACCATTGACAACGATAATGGTTATGTATAAACTCGTTATCTTTCAAATACTCAGGCAACTCTTCAAACTTCATCAACCTCCTCACCATTCTCATCTCTTCGCAAGAATCTAAACCTTTACAATCGGTAAAAGTCACCATCGCCGGAGATTTCTTAGCCGCTCGTCGTCTCTTCATCCTCTGGTTAGTAGTTCTAGCATCATCAGGTCGCTATCTCTTTAGTATTTGTATGGAGAGAGAGACGAGAACTATCTTTGCATATATAATGCGATGGATCGTGACCGTCCACGTGTGAGATAATTCTGATGTGGATTGTTATGTGTGGGTGGAGAGATTTGCTTTGTGTGAGGTTGCGTACACTTGATTACTTGTTACCATGTTATGTTTTTTGAATCGTAGCGAGACAAGTTGGGACGATGAGAAGAAATGTATAAAGTGTGGTGTGCGTAAAAACAGGCACTAGACACGATTCACTTTTTATCAGCTTAGATGTGTTTTGAGTCCCATAGCATATGGTCTTAGTTAGAAACGTGACTAGTGAGGATTTTGTTTGATCGTTTTTGTTGCATAGGAACGGGAAGAGAGATAATTCATGAACTCTTTTATGTCCTTTGCTATCAGCCAACTTTATAATACAGTTTAAAAAAAAAAATACATATTCTTTTTTTGGGGGGTCAAATAATTAAGATAACATTAAATAAATATTATAAATTATAATAAATATTTATAAATTATCTTTCTCCTATTGGTAAATATAGGGAAAAAAAATTATGGGTAAACAATAATTTATAATATTTGTTAATTACATTGATTGGCCCCCTAATAAAGAGAACTTAAATGATTTGTTTTGTTTTACTCTACTTGTCTGATATTCTCTGATATCCTCTCTTTTTCATATCAAATTCTATTTTAGCCAAAATAATGTATTTTATTTAAGTAATGTCTTACATTTTTAATCTAATTTTTTTTTCTTTGTAATGTTGTGTGACCATTTGTACTCTGCAAATTTTGTATATCATTGTTTGAACTTTTTTAAGTAAATATATTTACTATTTTTTAAGTAAATAATATTTACTATCTTTTTAAAAATATATATATTATTTATATTTGATTTGATATATATATATATATATATGAAGTTAATCCTTTTTTAACTTTTGTGGCCATTTGGCCATACACTATACGATGTTTATTTGAAAACAAAGAAATTTAATCAAACAAGGATTTCACATATCATCTATTTTTATTGGAGAATTTTAAAATATAGTTTCTTAGTAATAATTATTTTCATATACATTAAAACATGTTATTATTAATAAATATTTTAAAAGAACAAAAAAGTGAAATATTTTTTGAACAATTATGAACATACAGGAAAGTGTCGTCGCACATATTAGATCGATATATAAACACCTACCAACCGAATATTGATTTACTCAATTCCCTCTCTTAAATAACAAGTCTTACAATCTCTAATCATACTCTATGTGAGTGGAGACAATGAAAGGCATGCTTGAGAGCATGATTCTAATTAGACATGGTTGTTAAAAAGAAAGATAACTAGAGATTTTGGTTTTCGGTTCAAGTTTTTGCGATGTGAGTGCATTATATAAAATCTTTGGTATTAAAAAGGTTAAATTTTCATGGAGCTGCAAAGATTTAGCACCAGGATTTTACTACTTGTAGATAAATATCAGAATGGAAGTGATTTACTGTCTTTTCTTTTTACTATGAACGAGAGATTTATGCTCTCACGAGTTCTTGATTGTAGAAGTGTTAGGTCGGTCTCTATGGAAAAAATATCTTTTTTTTTTTCAGTTTTTGTCCCCTTAAATTAATACTAAGTTTTAGAAAGAAGAAAAACTTTTTTTTGAAAAATTATACGTCTATAGTTTGATAATATGTGGAACGTTTTTACATGAAAGTTGTAGGTTTTTCTTTTATACACCCTTTTGATTTCAGTTTTGGTAACAAATGATATTAAAATTCGTTTATTTTGCAGGAAATGGGAAGAACGAGCCTACTTTAGGTGGTAAAACCTCAAGACGCATACATTATCCAATGATCTTAAGCACGAAGCTGCACCTGCTCGGAAGAAAAATAGGTATGGAGTAAGTAGGTATATCGCATAAGTATAAGGCCGATGGAAGTATTGAGTGTGTTACAAGGCAATGGTTGTTATTTTGTATGTTAATCATTTGCTATTACTAACTTTAAGGAGTAAACGAGTTTGTGCTTTCATATATTTTTCTATATATAATTTCAGTTTGTGCTAGCTCCCTTTGAAGCTTGCTCGTTAGAATGTTGCATTGTGGGTGGTGCGGTATTTGGAGAATAATCCCAGTTGTGTGAATGTGGATTGGGTGATGGCTCGCCCTCTCACACTGGTTTAGACAATCTCCAGTGTCTTGGAAGACAAAGAAATAGAAGACAATTTTACGCTCTTCTGTTGAAAACATGTATATATTGGAAATTATATCAGTGTCGTATACGGTGAGTGAGATCATTTAGTTATATGCGTTTCTCTTGTCGATTTAGATCTCTCATGACACTCTCACTCTCCTTCATTGCTATAGTAACCAATGTACTAACCAAGTGATTTTATTAGGTTGAAAAAGGTTTTTGAATGCATTTTCAAGCCAATATATATAATTAGATACGTACTGCCACCAGAGTAGTTTATTACAATACCATAAATAAGGACATTACAACAGAAAAAGGAGTTTTCGAAGAACACATGCATAAGCTTGACAAATGATTAGAGAGATGACAAGAGAAAGTGTTCAACGAACACTTATAATGACTGCTCTGGACTTTTTTCTACCAAACTTTTCCATGAACCACTCGTGCTTGTGTGAAACGAAGATATGTCCGATCACCAATCCGCAAAATACACCAGGTCCATACGCTATTGCCGCTGCTATCCAATTAATTACTGGTTCCTCAGGTTCTAATACTTCCTCTGGTTCTTGTGGTGTATCATCTGAGTCATGAGGTTTTCCGCAGAGGTCCTCAAGATTGGAGAGTTTGGGATTGTCCATGAATGAAGAACAATTTTGGCGGTGAAACTGTGTGCCTTGTGGTATTGGACCTTGGAGATTGTTGTGGGCGAAGTTCATAGTTGACAAAGAGAAGAGCTCACCAAGATCTGGGGGGATCTGACCTGACAGATGATTCTTGGATACATCTAATGACTCGAGATTCGTCAAATATGCCAATGATTGAGGTATATTGCTTGTGAAAGCATTATTTGACAAGTTGAGATAACGTAATCCTTTCAGCAAGCCAGTGGATTCAGGGATCTTTCCTTCAAACATGTTGCTTGAAAAATCAATGGATGTATAATCTTCACGGATCTTCTCAAACTCTGTCTCTACACCTTTGTGCACTATTTCCATTGAACTAGTGTAAGAACCAAAACCCCTGGGGAAATACACTAAGTTAGATCCCATGTACGGGTCATCATCTGGGCTTAATGTATTCCTTTGAATCATTTCAAGCCAATTGGAAAAATAGAAAGTAGGCAAGGTTCCACTGAAGTCATTATGTGAGACATCAATGACTTTTAACGTTTGAAACTCAGTGAATATTAATGGCCCATAGAATTGGTTTGATCTGAGGATGAGAATCTGTAACTGTAGAGAACCCAACCAAGATGGAAACGTGTCCTTGAATTTGTTTCCTTCCACATTCAACAATTCCATGTTTGTGCAATTGATTAGGGATTTAGGGAGTTTTCCTTCCAACCGGTTGCGGCTAACATCAAGTTCCATTAATCTAGAAGCATTAACAAATACATCTGGAAAAATCCCACTGAAATTGTTGTTTCGTAGATTAAGCACTCTAAGTGATACAGCGAGACTCCTTACACATGGAGGAACTGAGCCGTTGAAGCTATTGTTGGACAAATCTAAGAAATCCAATAATCCAAGCTTGCAAATCCAGTGGGGAAATGGTCCATGGAATGAATTCGAATCAAGACGCAACTCACGCATTTGTGCTTGATCCATCATAACTTGAGATGATTTTCCGAAACTACTAAACGAGTTGTGAGAAAGCTTCAGCGATTCTAGTCTCAGTAAGCAACCTGGAACTTTGCCTTCTAACTTATTGTTGGAAAGATCTAACTCTGCGAGTTTGAGAAATTTGGATATCGATTCAGGGATTTGGCCATCGAATTTGTTATCAGAAAGGTCTAGAACACCAAGGTTGGACGATGACAGTATATTCCCAAAATCAATAGTTCCCTCGAACTGGTTTCTCGCCAAATCAGCCCATTGTAACGAAGGCATCGTAAACAAGGTCGTAGGGAAAGGCCCAGAAAATGAGTTGTTATGGAGATCTAATTCTTTGAGTGTGAGAAATTTAGATATGGATTCAGGGATTCGGCCATCGAATTTGTTATCAGCAAGGTATAGAAATTGAAGCCTAGAAAATAAAGATACGTTCCCAAAATCTATGGGTCCCGTGAAGTTATTTTCTCCCAGATTAACCCACTCTAACGAAGGAATGGTGAACAAGTATGTAGGAAAAGACCCGAAAAATGAGTTTCCGCTCACTTCAAAAATCTTCAAGCTGTGGAATCGACTCATGTCGGGAAGAGGCTCGGGTTCAAAGTAGTTATAACTGAGATCGAGTGTGAACAATTGTGTAGAATTGGCAAATAAGACAGAAAATTTGCCACTTAACTTGTTTCCGTAAAGTGTGAGGTCTCTTAGTTGGGTTAAAATTCCAATTGAAACTGGAACTTGACCAACTAATTTATTAACCGAAATGTGAAGTTGGATGAGATGAGAAAGGTTCCCAAATGAAGAAGGAATCTCTCCGTAGAGATTGCAATTAGAAAGGATTAGCGTTTGAAGATACGGGAGTTTGAAAAGACCACTATTTGATTTCAAAGAGTTGTTGAGAGCGACGTTTATAAGTTCAAGTGAAATCACCTGGCCAGATTCAGCATCGCACGTGATACCCCACCAAGAACAGCAATCACTACTCTTGTTCCATGAACTCATATCGTAATCATCATTCGAGGAAGACTTCATATCTGCTTTAGGAAACTCGTGTATGAACTCGAGAAGAGCATCTCGTTGGTCATGGCGGCAAAGATGGACGGTAGGAGAAGCAAAAGTGTGTAGAACGAGGATATACAAGGTAATAACAATACCAGAAAAGCAATAAAATTGGCATGGAATCATTATTACTTTTTTTTTAGTTTGTGATGGGTTCTGATTATGGCTTCTGCAGCTCTCTTTAAAAAGAAAGAAACAGAAAAATCAATTGTAGAGCTCTAATGACTTTGGGTCTTCCACCTCATAAATTTAATCCATCACACACTCTATTGACTTGACGCTTGTCGATTTAATTATCTTTAATATCATTTCGTGTGGAAAAAAAAACACGAAATAACCAACAAAGCATATAAAAGTACAAGGAGTCACGCTAGGGCTTGACTTGGTTTGTGATGATTATAAACTGCGGTAGTTAGCTTTTGTAGTATTGTCAAATGATATATTCATTAGTTTTTGATCATATATGCTTAGTATAATAGACTAAGTTTAGTATATGTTGTAGTCTTGTACGTACGTAGATCATATATGTGTTCGACTAAATGTCTCATTTGAACTTTTTTTCATCTACCGTAGATGGAATTTTGTACATGTATATTAGTCTCATCTTATGTGTGAAACGTGAACTAATGGATGAAACGTTGTTATCTATCAACAGAGATCTTAAAAATGTTGATTTTTCTAAATAATAGATTAAGTTTAATATATGTTGTAGTCTTGTAAAACAATCTTTCATACTATTCTGGATATATATGTAGGGTTGCCGCATTATTCAGCCATCTACTTATCGCTTTCTCAGCATTACACCCCGAACTTTTCGGCTCTTAAAACAACATCACAAACAACTTTTTTCTACAAAAAACATCCTAAACTTTAATTTTTATACAATTTCCTACGCCTCCAACTGAAATCGATAATTTCGATCATTAACCGGATTTATCCAATAAATCGCGTTTTACATGATTGCGATTAGGATAATCCGAGTACAAACCATTACCCGATACTAAACAACGTCGTTTTCTTTTTCTTTTTTAACATCAACTAAATCAATATGAGATCAAAGTTTGTTATTCGCTGAAGCAATCAAAATTCCAAAAAACGAATTCGATAACGAACAGTAAATTAAAACAGTTCCATCACCAATTCAAACCCACAATTCAACTAAAAATTACTATTGTACTTGCAAAGCAATTGAGCAACGGTAGAAACACCGGTATGGTATGGATTCTTTTTTCGTCTTCGACGTAAATGTAGTTACATCTTCGCCACACCAACATTTCACTGGAACACCAGGACGAGAAGCTTGACGATGATAAAGGTTTGAACCCGAAGAGCTCATATCGTTTTCTGGAATTTTGATTGCTTCAACGAAGAACAAACCTAGATCTCAAATTGATTTAGTCGATGTTAAAAAAGAAAAAGAAAACAACGTCGTCTAGTATCGAATAATGGTTGTACTCGGATTATCCTAATCGCAATCATGTAAAACGCGATTTTATTGGTTAAATCGGTTTAATGATCGTCATCATCTGATTAATTGGAGGCGTAGGAAATTGTATAAAAATTAAAGTTTAGTATGTTTTATGTAGAAAAAAGTTGTTTGTGATGTTGTTTTAAGAGCCGAAAAGTTTGGGGTGAAATGCTGAGAAAGCGATAAGTAGAGGGCTGAATAATGCGACAACCCTATATATGTATATAACGTGAACTAGCAAATTTCATAAATTCTAAACAAAAATTAACAAGCTAAGTGTCCCACTAAACTACTTCCCCACCAGAGAGTCTCTAAATTAGAGCTCTAGATGCCATATCGAAACTTACATACGAGAAATGAAAAAGCCGATATAAACATTGTCAAACAGCAAGTTGATACGTTATAATAGAGAAACACTAAGAACCAAGGTTATATATTCTCAGTTATATTGCATAAATTCATTGAATAAAAACGTAACATCAGGATTCAGAACCATAGACTAAAACACAAAACTTTGCCTCTGAGTTCGTTCATTCATTGGAGAGTCCACGAGAAAAGTCTCAAGCTACATACCAATTCACTTGCTTACTAATAGTAAGTTACTATATACATACCGATTCACTTGCTCCGGAACCTATATTCAACATTTTTATTGCCTTTGTTAAACTTGTATATCGCTAATGTATATGAAAGAAACAAAAAATGTTCCGGAAAATCGGCACTCTTGGACACACTCAACTTATGATTCTGATCAAGGGGAAACGCAACTGGTCGTGCTCCAAGAAGACCAACTTCAGAAATAATGTCCAGAGCATATTTACGCTGACATAAATATATACCGGAAGGACTGCGAGCAACTTCAATCCCCAAGAAATACTTGCAAACCCCTAAATCTTTCATCCGGAAACACGAGCTAAGATAATCTTTAAATTTCTGAATTAATGCCGGTGAGCTCCCAGTAATGACAAGATCATCAACATACACTAGAACATTTAGTTGAGAATTATGACTGTGCATAGTGAATAACGAGTAGTCTGTAGTACATTGAGTAAAACCATAGTCGCAAAGTGAGGTCGTCAGTTTTTCGAACCAACATCGAGGGGACTGTCGAAGACCATACAGAGATTTGTGAAGACGACAAGCTTGATAGGGCTTACTTGATTGAAATCCAGGGGGTAATTTCATATAAACCTCCTCAGTCAAATCACCATGGAGGAAAGCATTATGTACGTTCATCTGATGCACTTCCCAATTCTTTGCAGCAGACACTTCAATAACCATACGAACTGTAGTCATCTTCGCAACCGGAGCAAAAGTTTTGTCATAATCCTCTCCTTCAATTTGTTTATTTCCAAGAACCACCAACCTAGCTTTATGTCGTTCTATGGTACCATCGGATTTGTATTTGATGGTGTATACCCATTTACAACCTATTGCTTTCTTTCCAGGAGGTAATTCTTCCACAGTCCACATTTGCGTTTCTTCACAAGCATCAATCTCGGAACGCATAGCCTGGCGAAAATTTTCATCAAGAACAGCCTGTGCATACGTCTTTGGTATCGTTGTGCTCGTAATGGCATGGAGATACGCACAATGAGAAGCAGAGAACCGTGAAGAAGACAAGTAATTGTCAAGTGGATATAGACAATCACTCTCGGGAGCAACCATGTGAGCAGTGGCTGGATTCTTGATTGTGGGACAAACATAGTCACTAAATTTCTCGGGAGGTTTACGCACACGCTCACTACGACGAAGAGAAACAATAGGTGCATCCGTGTTTGTTGAAGTTACGTCTGCAGGTGGGAAAGAAGACAACGATGTACCAGGAATAGAGGCATTCGTAGGCACATAAGACGGGAGAGAAGATGACTGTTGCTCATTTGTCGGAATTGCAGTCGAAGGAACCGTATCGATCGGTCCAACTGAAGGATCGATCGATCCAACTGAGCAATCGATCGGTACAACCGAGTGATCGATCGGTTCAGGCACATCTGCCGGCGATGAAAGAACAGGATCATCAACATGATTCACGGGTGGAGTTTCGAAGTCATCATCAACCACAAATGTAGAAGGAGGGGAAGAATGAGAGTGAGAAGAAACATTATCCACCAGAGATGCATATGGGAATTGATCTTCACAGAATATAACATCACGTGAAACAGAGACCTTCCCAGTTTCTAAGTCATAAACTCTCCACCCTTTCTTACCAAATGGATAGCCAAGAAACAGAGAACGTGTACTGCGGCTTGCAAACTTATCACCCCGCTGATGTTGATTGTGAACATAACAAAGACAACCAAAAACACGAAGATGTGAGAGAGGGGGAGGACGATCATAAAGCAGCTCAGATGGAGTCTTACCGGCTAAAGGAGCTGCCGGTGTGCGATTAATAATGCATCCTGCTGCCAAGACACTTTGTCCCCAAAATTCAATCGGTAAAGAGGCTTGAAAACGCAACGCTCGTGCAATGTTAAGTATGTGACGATGCTTCCTTTCTACACGACCATTTTGCTGGGGAGTACCAACACATGATGTCTCATGGATAATTCCTTTTTCTCGAAAATACTGAGTGAGACAGATAAACTCAGTTCCATTGTCACTACGGATGCTTTGCACTTGTTTACAGAACTGTCTTTCAACCATAGCTATGAAAATTTTCAAATTCTCTGGTGCGACTTGTTTATTTGGAAGAAGATAAATCCAAAGTGCTCGTGAGAAATCGTCGAGAATAGTGAGAAAATATGTAGAACCACACAACGCGGGAGTCCGATATGGTCCCCAAAGATCACAGTGAACAAGTTCAAAAACACGAGTTGTTTTATTCAAACTAGTCGGAAATGTGTCACGACACTGTTTGGAGCGAATACAAATATCACATGCCTTGTGATCAAACTTGGAACTACTACTTAAAACCAGAAAACGATAAAGTTTCCAAAGCCTTCGAAGACGGGTGTCCCAAGCGTTGATGCCATAACTCCGGAGAAGTTATCTTTGTCGTATGCAACGCGGCTGCAACATCCATACTCTGAAAGAAATACAAACCATTATGGTGCTCCCCCGACCCAATCAGCATCCTGGTAATGCGGTCCTGGATCACACACAATGTATCAGTAATCTGGAAAACACAGCCACTATCTCTTGCCAACTGTGAAACTGAAATCAAGAGGCAGTCTAAACCATCAACAAAATATACACATCTTGAAGACTCAAATGTGCACCCAACTGAACTGTTCCTTGTTGAATAGACATAACATGTTCACCATTTGGAAGCTTAATGAGAACATGAGGCATAGTACAAATATTATCCAAGGTGGAGATAGAACCCGTCATATGGTGTGATGCACCTGTATCAATGATCCAAGAGGTGATCGGAATCTTACCAGTAAGTGTTGTGGAAGTTTTGTCACGTTCATCAAGAACCAGCTTCAAGCTCTCCCATTGTGCATTAGAAATCCCAATAAGGCCAACACGATCAGCAAGACTTAACACCGAATTAGCTTGGTGAACAACCGTCGTAGTGTTAGGTGCAGCTGCAACAACGGCGTGAGCCCGAGCTGTCGTATTTCCACGGCCTTTCCCCGCAGAAGACGCTTGATGTGTAGATGATGAGTTTGAACGTGAGCGTGAAGATGAAGCAGCCCGTTCAACCCACCAATCCGGATACCCAATTGTTCGAAAACAATTTTCAGCAAGATGACCTGTTTTCCCACAGCTAGCACACACAGGACGAGTACGATTAGTCGGAGCCGATCTCGATGAAGGTTGAGTTTGAACAGCAAAACTCATTTCTTCCACACGATTAACAAGAATACGACCAGCAGATTTGGCATCCTCGTCTTGCGTTAGAATCTGATATGCCTCATCAAGTGTAGGTAAAGGAACACGAGACAATAAGGAGAACTTCACAGCTCCATAGATCGTTTCATCAAGCCCCATCAAAAATTGATGAAGTTTGTCTTCCTCTCTCTCTTTAGCGATCTCTTCCACTGTTTTTGCTTGTTGGTAATCAGACAAACTCCTCCATAACTGAGTCAACTTCCCATAATAATCTTGCATCGTAAGTCCCTTTTGACTACAATTAGCGAGTTCAGCTTTAAGCCTTTGAACACGTTGGCCATTTTGGACTGAAAAACGCTGTTTAATATGTTTCCAGAGATCATGAGCATTCTCATGATTGGAGAGAGTCGTCCTGAGATTCTCATCAATCGTCAACTTCAGCCAAGAAATCACCATGGCATTGTTTGCGCCCCAATCTTCAAGATCCGCTGAATTGGGAGAAGGTTCTGGAATTGTCCCATCCACAAAGCCGAATTTCTTCCTCGCCATGAGAGGAAGACGAATGTTGGTAGACCACTCAGCATAATTAGGTCCACGAAGAAGAGGCTGAGAGATAACATTACCAGGATTGTCTCCAGAAGACAAATCATACGGATCTATTGTACGGCGTGTCTTATTTTGAACTCTAGCCATTGCCATCTCTTCACTCATGATACAAAACAAAACGATTTGCAGAGAAGATCTAGAGAGAAGAAGAAAAAAAATGAAACAAGATCAAGGATCGAAATAAACCAAAAAGTTTTGTATAATTTTGGCTTTTGGCTTTGATACCATGTCAGAGAACCATAGCGGCGTATAAAAGAAATTCTCTGTTATTGATCATTAGCCAAGGAGGCTTAGTATATATACAAATGATAACTCTAATCATATAGATAATAGAAAGACTAATCTACCCAGAAATGTGTAAAGACATGTAACGGTTATATACAAACATATAACTCTAACAAAAAAAAAAACTAATCACGAATTTTTTTCTTTTTTCTTTTTGTGTATTTCCTATAAAAAAATAATAATACAAGAATAATCTCTTCATTACCCCAAAACACAAAAAGCCGCATATATAACTCCAAAACCAGGAGACGTTGCATATATCTTTCGATACTCTTTGACAGCTTTCTCATCTGAAAGAACACCGAAATAATCTTAACATATATGCTCACGCGCGAACTTAACAAATATCTGAGATCAAAGAACGTGACCTTTGCTACAAGTTTGAGAAGAGAAACCACGACAAGCTGGACTAAGACACAACGCCGCAGCGGAGACGGCAACACTGCACAACGACAGATCTAAGATTTGGATACATTATGAGAATTAAGGGTTTCGTTCTTACTTCACACGTAATTAAGATTCACCATGCAATCTTAACCAGTTTTGATAGATGTACGTAGACTCTAATAAATTTTGTACGTCACTCTCATATCATATTCGTCAGTCGTCATGAATCATAATTCATAATCATATGATATTCAAAGGTCCCGAAACGGTCACGGTAATCCCGATGACACGTTAAAGTGAGGAAACAACATCGTATGCTCATTTTATTAATTAAGTTTCTCTTTTTTTTTGTAATAAAGTTTTAGACTTTTCTGCGTCGTTTAATATGGTTTGAAAAAAAAAAGAATAAAAGAGTTAAGTATGTAAAAGAAACAAAAAAAGAATTAAAGAGATCCTACAGGATTATACAAATTGTATTATAAGGTAGAAAATGATACTACTGGGGTGAGTGTAATTATCGAAATCTATGCCTTACTACATTTGCGTTCCTTGTTATGGAATCTTTGAAAGACAAAATATTTTTTACTTGTTAATTAGCTGATCAGTGGACTTTAGAAAAAGAAAAATACAAATTTAAAGAAATCTATTTTGAAACGAAATTTCCAACTATTTTGATTATTCTTTTTCGAAACAACACGATCGGTTAACACAAGGAAACGAAGCCATCTCCATGAGGTTGCGCAATAAAGCAGCCGTGTTTCATAAGCCATCTCTTATCTATCACCTCCGGCGTATATAGCTTACCGGCTACCTACTCGCCACGTGATGAGGTCAACACACATAATTTGAAAAGATCATTATAATAAATTTGCAATTTAGCTACAAATAATTTTTAATCTAATTGTAGCAAAAATATTATACAGCTTATAACAAAGAATTTATTTTTTATTTTGGAGTATAGTTCTTTTCCTTGAATCAACTTGTTCGTCATCTTTTTAACCAATCTGAATTCTAAAAATATGAACTTGCTCATTTTCATGACTAGAGACACTGTTACTAACTCTATCGTCCTTCTTCAAATAGATTTTACATATCTAATTTGTACGCTTCTATTTCACTTCCACTTTAGTTTCCAAAAACCTATATGACCCAAACTGCCACGTAAGAAATTTATTACAAAAACATAAATTAGAAAATTACAACATAGAAAAGAGTTTTCGGAGAACACATATCGTGACAAAATATTACAAACACGTACATAAGCCTGACAAATGCTTAGAGAGATGACAAGAGGAAGTGTTCAACGAGCGCTTCTGATGAAAACTCTGGACTTTTTTCTACCAAACTTTTCCATGAGCCACTCGTGCTTGTGTGAAACGAAGATATGTCCCATCACCAATCCACAAAAAACACCAGGTCCATACGCTATTGCCACTGCTATCCAATTAATAACTGGTTCCTCAGGTTCTACCGATTCCTGTGATGTAAGATTCGAGTCATGAGGTTTTCCACATACGTCCTCGAGATTGGAGAGTTTGGGATTGTCCATGAAGGAAGAACAATTTTGGCGCTGAAACTGTGTGCCTCGTGGTATTGGACCTTCGAGATTGTTGTGGGCAAAGTTCATGGTTGACAAAAAGGAGAGCTCACCAAGATCTCCAGGAATCTGACCTGACAGCTGATTCTGGGATAAATCTAATGACTCAAGAATTGTCAAATTTGCCAATGGTTGAGGTATATTGCTAGTGAAAGCATTATTCGACATGTTGAGATAACGTAATTCTTTCAGCAAGCCAATGGATTCAGGGATCTTTCCATCAAACATGTTGCTTGAAAAATCAATGGATGTATAATCTGTACGGATCTTCTCAAACTCTGTATCTACACCTTTGTGCACCATTTCCATTGAACTAATGTAAAAACCTGAACTGCTAAGGATGTAATATCCCATGTATGAGTCAAAGCTTAATGGATTCATTTGACTCATTTCAAGCCAATTGGAAAAATAGAAAGTGGGCAAGGTTCCACTAAAGTCATTATGTGAGATATCAATGACTTTTAATGTTTGAAACCCAGTGGAGCTAATTGGCCCATATAATTGGTTTGATCGTAGGATGAGGACACTTAACCGTGGAAGAGAACCCAACCAAGATGGAAACTTGTCATTGAATTTGTTTACTTCCACATTCAATAGTCTCATGAATGTGCAATTGATCAAGGATTCAGGGAGTCTTCCTTCCAACCGATTGCGACTAACATCAAGTGCCTGTAAATGAAAAGCATTGGCAAACACATCTGGTAGAATCCCACTGAAATTGTTCTTTCGTAGGTTAAGCACTTGAAGTCTTTCAACAAAACTCCTTACACATGGAGGAACCGAGCCGTTGAAGCTATTGTTGGACAAGTCTAAGAGCTCCAGCGATCTAAGCATGCAGATCCAGCGGGGAAATGGTCCATGGAATGAATTCGAATCAAGACGCAACTCACGCATTTGTGCTTGATCCATCATAACTTGAGATGATTTTCCGAAACTACTAAACGAGTTGTGAGAAAGCTTCAGCGATTCTAGTCTCAGTAAGCAACCTGGAACTTTGCCTTCTAACTTATTGTTGGAAAGATCTAACTCTGCGAGTTTGAGAAATTTGGATATCGATTCAGGGATTTGGCCATCGAATTTGTTATCAGAAAGGTCTAGAACACCAAGGTTGGACGATGACAGTATATTCCCAAAATCAATAGTTCCCTCGAACTGGTTTCTCGCCAAATCAGCCCATTGTAACGAAGGCATCGTAAACAAGGTCGTAGGGAAAGGCCCAGAAAATGAGTTGTTATGGAGATCTAATTCTTTGAGTGTGAGAAATTTAGATATGGATTCAGGGATTCGGCCATCGAATTTGTTATCAGCAAGGTATAGAAATTGAAGCCTAGAAAATAAAGATACGTTCCCAAAATCTATGGGTCCCGTGAAGTTATTTTCTCCCAGATTAACCCACTCTAACAAAGGAATCGTGAACAAGGATGTAGGAAACGACCCGGAAAATGAGTTTCCACGCACATAAAAAAACTTCAAGTTGTGGAATTGACTCATGTCGGGTAGAATCTCGGGTTCAAAGTAGTTATCATTGAGATCGAGTTCGAACAATTTCGTGAAGTTGGTAAAAAAAACAGAAAATTTGCCACTTAACTCGTTTCCATAAAGGGTAAGGGACCTAAGTTGGGTTAAGTTTCCAACTGAAGCAGGAACTTGACCAACTAATATGTTATACACAAGTGTAAGCTCCATGAGATCAGAAAGGTTTCCAAATGAAGAAAGAATCTCTCCGTAGAGATTGCACTTTAAAATGGATAGCCTTTGAAGATATTGGAGTTTGAAAAGACCACTGTTTGGTTTCAAAGAGTTGTTGAGAGCGAGGTTAAAAAGTTCAAGTGAAATCACCTGGCCAGATTTAGCATCGCATTTGACAGCCCCCCAAGAACAGCAATCACTACTCTTGTTCCATGAACTCATATCGTAAGCGCTACTAGAAGACTTCATATCTGCTTTAGGAAACTCGTGTTTGAACTCGAGAAGAGCATCTCGTTGGTCATGGCGGCAAAGATGGACGGTAGGAGAAGCAAGAGTGTGTAGAACGACAGAATCAAAGAAGAAGAAATACAAAGTAACAACAATACCAGAAAAGCATGGAATCATTATTACCATTTACGTTTTTTTTTTTAGTTTATGTAGTTTGTGATGGGTTATGATTATGGCTTCTATAGCTCTCTTTAAAAAGAAAGAAATAGAAAATCAATTGTGGATCTCTAATGACTTTGCGTCAACTCGTCTGTCTTCGGCCACCTCATAAATTTAATCCATCACACACTCTATTGACTTGACCTCGTCGATTTCATTATCTTAAAAAAACAATAATCGTGTGGAAGATTTTAAAGCAGCATGAATTAAGTAATTCTATGAATTAGGGAAATACAAATTATAAAAAAATAAAAATAATTAAATAACCAAAAAAGCATATAAAATTCTTGATAACTACACACCGTAGCCGTAAGATTAAGGAGTTAGGGCTTGAGTTGGTTTGAGATAAATAAACTTTAGTAGTTAGGACACCCTCATCAATGGTATCTTAGAGGCTAAATTAAGATAGGAAAGTATCTAAGATACCATTGATGAGGATTTTTTGTAGTTTATATTAAGCTTGATATATATTCCCAAATTCCAAATTGCAATATATCTTCTTTTTGACAGGTTTAGTGAACACCACAAACATGACTAGTTTGAGTGGCGGGCGAGTTGATTTCATTGTTATCTATCTAGAGAGTTTTTAAAAAAATTGATTAATAGAATTGAGTTTGTAAAACAATCTTTGTGAGAAAAATAAGTATAATTTAATATTTTAATGAATCATAAAAATCAATGTAAAAGAAATATTCAAATATAAAGTTCACTGACTCATTCCTTTCACCTTACTGATCTGTGTCACAAAAACCATTGACTCATTCATGCCACCTAATCCTAGGCATGTCAATCGGGCTAGCCCGGCCCGGCTCGGCCCGAAACCCGTAAAGCCCTCATATATGTGAGCCCGGCCCGAAAAATTTCCGAGCCTATATTTCAAAGCCCGGCCCGGCCCTAACAGGGCTACAGGGCTTTTTGGGCTTTTTTGAGCTTTATTTACCGATAAAAAAATCAATTTCTAAGTTCATAATAGTTTTTTCAAAACTATATTTAAAGGTCTACTATAAAAATAATGCATCAAATTTTAAATAACTTATCAATATTCAATAAAACTAACTTAATTTAAGAGAAAAAATAAAAGCCAAATAAATTATTTACACTTTAACCCAATAAAACATGGAACTAAAATACTTTAAAGTATAAGATAGAGTCAAAATTTAATAGATATTTTGATGATTTCAAAATCATGATATTTATATATATATTTAGTTTTAGCTTTGTATAAAAATTTTAAAAGTAATAAGTAAGACTAGTAAGTAAATATGAAAACTATAACATTAATCAAATCTTTTAATCAAACTAAAATATTCAAAAAATTCAAAATATATTTGTATAAGGGCTTTTCGGGCCGGCCCGAGCCCGACCGGGCTAAGCCCAAAAAACCCTTTAGCCCGAATGGGCTTAGCCCAAAAGGCCCGATTTTTTCTGGACATATATATTTAAGCCCGAGCCCGATGTTTTTCAGAACCGGGCCAAACTAGCCCGCGGGCTTTAGACCTAATTGACATGCCTACCTAATCCACCACAGACACACCACATATTCTCTTAAGTTAACCGACCTTGTCGAGTTCATTACCTTTCATACAAAACTTCAAACAAAATTTAAAAAGTGTCCCACTAAACTACTTTCCCACCAGAGTCTCTAAATTACAAAGCTCTAGATGCCAGATCGAAACTTACATACAAGAAATGGAATGGCCAATATAAACCGTCAAATTACAAGGTTATATATTCTCAATTATATTTTTTTTGCTAACTGATTCTCAGTTATATTGCATACCAAATTACCAAGTACCACATAAATTCACTGAATAAAAACGTAACATTCAGAACCATATAGACTAAAACACAAAACTCTGCCTCTGAATTCATTCATTGGAGAGTCCACGAGAAAAGTCTATATACATACCAATTCACTTGCTCCGGAACCTATATTCGACCTTTTTCTTGCCTTTGTTTAACTTGTACATTGCTATGTAGATGAAAGAAATAAAAAATAAAAAGAATTAATCACGAATGATTTTTTTTTTGTGTGTGTATTTTCTATATAAAAAATAATATAAGAAGAATCTCTTTCATTACACCAAACACAAAAAGTCGCATATATAACTCCAAAACCAGGAGACATTGCATATATCTTTCTATACTCTTTGACAGCTTTTTCATCTGAAAGAACATCGAATAAAACTTAACATATATATATGCTGGACGAGAGAAGTAGTGATATATAAATCTGAGATATATAAAAAGAGTCCAAATTAAGAACCTTTGCTACCAGTTGGCGAAGAAAAACCACGACGAGCTGGACGTGACAAAACGCCGCAGCGGAGACGGTGACACTGCACAACGACAGATCTAAGATTTGGATACATTATTGGAATAAAGGGTTTCGTTCTTCCTCGTCTCTGAGTTCTTCGAAACAGCTATGAATATAATAAGTTCTATGGTAACGGCTAAGATTTGGATACGTTATGGGAATTAAGCTGACCTAGCTTGCGCTCCAAGGATATTTCCTTTTCTTTTTTACTGTCAATATTATGAGTTTATGGTATATGGTATGAGTTTGTGATTGCATGTCAATACCAATAAGAATTATTTTAATTTTGATTTTAATTTTATGAGCCAAACATGTAATGATGCTAACATGTCATCAAAGCCACACAAATTTTCTCTGTATTTCTTTCTCAAACACATTTATTTGCAAATAATTATAATACATATTTATTATTTTAATATTAATTGCCTAACTTACAAAATCCAAAACTTACAAAATCCAAAACTTACAAAAAAAAAACTACATAAGAAATCATATATTATACATCACTTTTGAATGTGAACAAACATTTAAATATATATATATATATATATATATATATATATATATATATATATATATCCATATATAAGAAATTAATATATCAAAATAAAATATATATTTTTGTAAAAAGAATTCTATTGAAACCATAATTTAAAATTTTCAACACAACAGTAAAATCAATAAAAATTAATTTTGGAAAGAGCTGCATTAGCCAAAATCCCCTATGCTGTATATTGAAATTTGAAAGCATAAACACGTCGATTATGGAACGACCACATTTAGAAAGAAAAAAAAAACACTCTTAATAATATCGTTCGATTACGGCTTCAAAGATGTTTATTAGAAACCCATGGAATAGAACAATACAAGACACGAAAGAGTGCTTTTGAGAACACATTGTGACAAATTATTACAAACACGTACATATGATTTATGCTTACAACGAGGACAAGAGAAAGTGTTCAACTAGCGCTTTTGATTACTCCGTTGTGCTGTGCTTGTTTTTCCGGAACTTCTCCATGAACCACTCATGCTTGTGTGAGTGTGACACGAAGATATGTCCAATCACCAATCCGCAAAAAACACCAGGTCCGTACGCTATTGCGGCTGCTATCCAGTTAATCACTTGTTCTTCGGGCTCCGACCATTCATGTGGTGTAAGATTTGGGGCAGGAGGTTTTCCACATATTCCTTCAAGATCGTAGAGTCCGGAGTTGCTCATGAATGAAGAACAATTTTGGCTTTGAAACTGGGTGCCTTGTGGTATTGGACCTACGAGTTTGTTGTGTGAGAAATTCATGGTTGATAAAAAGGAGAGCGTACCAAGATCTCGAGGAATTTGACCTAACAGTTGATTCCGGGATAGGTCTAATGCCTCGAGGTTATTCAGCTTTGCCAACGATTGAGGTATGTCACTTGTGAATGCATTACTTGACAAGTTGAGTAGACGCAACCCCTTCAACAATCCAATGGAGTCTGGAATTTTTCCACCAAATTTGTTTCCTGAAAAGTCAATGGCTATGAAGTCTTCTCGGATTCTTGAAAATTCTGTTTCTACTCCTTTGTGCACAAATTCCATAGAATTACGGTAGGTTGCAACATACACCATGAAATCTTCCATGTACATGTTGTCGTATTGTGATGTGGCCATGGCACTCCAACTGGAAAAATAGAAAGCTGGTATGGTTCCACTGAAGTCATTTTGTGAGATATCAATGACTTTTAGGCTTTGAAACCCTATGGAGGCTTGGCGATCATATAGCGGCCCATAGAATTTATTTGATCGGAGGATGAGGACGTTTAACGATGGTAGAGAGCCCAACCAAGATGGAAATTTATCCTTGAATTTGTTGCTTCCCACATTCAAATGTCTCATAGCTTTGCAATTTATCAAGGACTTTGAAAGCTTTCCTTCCAACTGATTCCAGCTAATATCAAGTGTCTTTAAATTTGTAGCATTGACAAACATATCAGGAAAAGTTCCACTGAAACTGTTGTATCCGAGATTAAGGACTTCAAGATTAGTGTTATTCCTTAAACATGAAGGAATCAAGCCACTAAAGTTATTGATGGACATATCTAAGAAAACTAACGATGTAAGATCGCAGATCCAGTGGGGAAATGGTCCTTGGAATGAATTCGATAAAAGACTCAACAAATTCATTTCTGTTCCTGCGAAAACTTGAGATGATTTTCCAAAACTGCTAAAAGAGTTGTAAGAAAGCTTCACCACTTGCAATCTCCATAAGCAATGTGGTACTTCGCCTTCAAACTTATTATGGGAGAGATCAAGGTAACGGAGGTTGACTAGCTGTGATATTGATCTAGGTATTGGCCCAATGAAATTGTTGAAACTAAGATCTAAGATGTTGAGATTGAAAAGTTTAGATATAGATTCAGGGATTGGACCATCACATTGGTTGCTAGAAAGGGACAGAGAATGGAGCCTAGATGATGAAGATGTATTCCTAAACTCTATAGGTCCCTTGAACTGGTTTCCCTTGGAATAAATCACTTGTAACGAAGAAATCGTGAACAAGAATGAAGGAAAAGGCCCAGAAAATGAGTTCCCGCTCAAAAAAATATACTCCAAATTGTGGAGTCTACGCATCTCAAGTGGGAGCTCGGATTCAAAGTAGTTATTAGTGAGGTGAAGAGTAGAAAGTTTTGTTAAATTGGCAAATGAAACAGGAATCTTTCCACTTAAGTGGTTATCAGTGAGGCTCAAGGAGCTTAGTTGGGTCAAGTTTCCAATTGAAGTTGGAAGTTGACCAACTAATTCATTTTGGGAAAGTTCAAGATAAATGAGCTGAGAAAGGTTTCCTAATGAAGAAGGAATCTCCCCATAAAGATTGCACTTTCTAAGGGTTAGGCTTTGAAGATAATTGAGTTTGAAAAGGCCACTATTTGGTTTCATAGTGTTGTTGAGAGAGACATTATCAAGGTAAAGTGAAATCACCTCACCAGATCTGGCATTGCACGTGACACCTTCCCAAGAACAGCAGTCAATGCTATTGTTCCAAGAACTCATATAACTTACAGAAAACTCCTTTTTGAACTCCAAAAGAGCATCTCTCTGGTCATGGCGGCAAAACTGGAGCGTAGGAGAAGCAAACAAGAAGAAGAAAAAGATGGTAACAACAATCCCATATAAGGAATAAGACTGGCGACGAATCATTGTAACTTTTTTTTTCTTTAGTTTTTGTGGTGTTTGTAGGTTATTTGAGTATGGCTTATGCAACTCTCTTTAAATAGGAAAAACAAAAGAGATCAATTTTGGAGTTTGGTTCTTGACTTTGGAAAAATATGGCGTCTAAACTCATGAATCTTCTTTTCCTCTGTGATTATGTATGATCCGTGATTTGTGCCCTAAAGAGCCAAATAAAAATTTGAAAATTAATTCATTCCTTCCACCACAAACTCTCATGACTTGACCGACCTTGTTTAGTTCTCTCTTCTTTCTTGCTATCTTGAATTGACCTACCTTGTCGAGTTCTTTATCTCTCGATTACTATTCTAAACAATATATGTTCCTAATAAGAAGGTCTTGAAAAAAAGCAGGAGGAACCTCTGAATTCTAAGCTCATATATTACTGAGCTTCTAGGTCGTGTTAATTGTTCAAAAATCGTCACTAAAAAGAACCCTGGTTACAGAATTGAAAGCTAATCTCTTTTTTTTTATAAAGATTATATACGAACTTAACATTACTAGACGTTCATCTGCGATTATTACTAGATTCAAAGGACTATATGAGTTTGTGCTTTCACATGAAAGGTCAAGTGTGAATGCGGATTGGAACGGACTTGGTTTATACAAGGAAACAACTTCTTGCATGTGTGAACACAAGTTATTTTAGTGTAACACGAATCACTACCTTTTAATTTTAATTATGAAATGGACATATTTCTCAATTTACATCCCCAAGAAAATTTCTTATGAAATTTCACGTACTACTATATCATAAGTAACTATTGCGTCATTTTTCATTAAAAAAACAAGCTTATTACAATCTACCAATTTGTCAATAGAATTGTAATGAATAAAAAAAAAAAAAAACAAGCTAGGTGTATGCATGCAAAATTCTAAAAATAAAATAATGCATGCATGCATCTGATATGTCGTGTCAAATGAACGGTGTACGTATATAGTGCAAACTACTCTTAATGAAGAAAAATAATGTAAATTTGTAGGCCTATAACGGTAGTTTAGTACTGGTTATATCGAAAGTGACGATTTCATTTAGAAACCATGAAGGTCGATCTAGAGTCATTTACTGGTGATAGTTTTTTTCCAGAATATTCGATAGAAAATCTAACGATAAGAAAGAAGGCAAGAGGCAGTAATTAAAATACAAAAAAAAAAAGAAGAAGATGAATTCAAACCCATCTTATAATGTAAACGTGTATGTGGGTATATCAAGCAAAGCTTGATGAACCTAATTAAAACCCTAGAAAACTTTTTTTTATATGGTGGAGGTTAATTATAAAACAAGACACTAATGAAAGAGACACTATTATTGATTGGAATAAAGAGTCAATATTGAAATGAAAAAAAAAGACTTTCTAAAATTCTACAAATTCTTTAAAAATATTTTTTTTAGCTTCTCAATTGTTCTGAAATTTGTATTAATCGCTCATATTTGCTGAAAATTTGGATTAAATCATTTTAAAATTTTAGACACCGTTCGTATATAACGATATTTTCTTGTAGTTACCCTTAAATATTTCTGAAAATTAGTATACAAATATCATACATTAATTCTTAAGGCGTATATATAAGTATATATTTCTGGAATTTCACAATCAAAATCGTTAAGTACTATACAATATATCAATATAAATCTTAATCACTAAAAAATATTCCTTCCTTGTAATCTCAACGTGTAGATTCACAGATGAAAATGGCCACATCAAAGGGAAATAAGGGAGCATGCATGAGTAACTTGTGCAAGAAGCAAGATTGTTTGGGAAATGAGATTTGGAACACAAACTGGAGACTAGGGAAGTCTTCGTATACGTAACGACATTCAAGGCATCTAATATTCTTGACACATCCGTCAAAGACGTTTATTACAGAACCATTTTTAGAATATTACAAAACACAAACGCGTTATTAGAGAACACTGATAGCAAATTCTTACAAACTTCACAAATGCTTATAATTAAGAGGACAAGCGAAAGTGTTCAACGAGCACTTCTGATGACTGCTCTGGTCTTGTTTCTACCGAACTTTTCCATGAACCACTCATTCGGGTGTGAAACAAAGATATGTCCAAACACCAATCCACAGAAAACACCAGGCCCATACGCTATTGCCGCTGCTATCCAGTGAATCACTTATTCTTTAGACTCCGACAATTCCTCTGGTTCTTGTGGTATAAGATTTGGGACATGCGGTTTTCCACAGATTTCATCTAGACCGTAGAGTTTGAGGTTGTCCATGAATGAAGAACAGTTTTGGCTTTGAAACTGTGTGCCTCGTGGTAATGGACCTTCCAGATTGTTGTGGGAGAAGTTTATGACTGATAGAAAAGAGAGGGTACCAAGATCTTGAGGAATTTGACCAGTCAGCTGATTCCGGGATAGGTCTAACGCTTCAAGATTTCTCAAATGTACCAATGATGGAGGTATATTGCTTGTAAATGCATTACCAGACAAGTTGAGTACACACAATTCCTTCAAATATCCAATAGATTCGGGGATTTTTCCATAAAATTTGTTTTCTGAAAAGTCAATGGCTGTGAAGTCTTTTCTCACCCCCTCAAACTCTGTCTCTACTCCTTTATGCACCATATCCATTGAATCTTGGTAGTTACCCATATGACTGATGTAATCTTCCATGTACATGTCATAATCTAGTGCGTTTGATGTGGCCATGTCACGCCATTTCGAAAAGTAGAAAGTTGGCAAGGCTCCAGTGAAGTTGTTATGTGAGACATCAATAACTTTTAAGTTTCTAAACCCAAGGGCTACGTGGCGATGATACAGAGACCCATAAAATTGGTTTGATCGGAGGATGACAACGTTTAAAGATGACACAGAACCCAACCAAGATGGAAACTTGTCCTTGAAGTTGTTGCTCTCCACATTCAAAAGTTTCATGACTTTGCAATTGATTAAGGATTTTGGAAGTCTTCCTTCCAATTGGTTGCGCCTAACATCAAGTGTTTTTAAAGTAGTAGCGCCAACAAACATATCAGGAAGGATTCCACTAAAATTGTTATTATGTAGAATAAGCCTTTCAAGGTTATTGGTGGCATTCCTTAAGCATGAAGGAATTGAGCCACTGAAGCTATTATTGGACATATCTAAGAGCTCTAAAGATCTAAGCTTGCATATCCAACGGGGAAATGGTCCTTGAAATGAATTTGACTCAAGACTCAACACACGCATTTGAGCTCTATCTGAAACTTCTAATGACTCTCCAATACTACTAAAAGAGTTGTAAGAAAGCGACAACACTGACAATCTTGATAAGCAGCCTGGTACTATTCCTTCCATCTTATTATAAGAAAGATCAAGGACAACTAGTTTGAGTAAATGTGATACAGATTTTGGGATTAGTCCAATGAAATTGTTGTTTGTAAGACTAATTGCTTTGAGATTTGAAAATTTAGATATTGATTCAGGGATTGCACCATCAAATTTGTTATCGCCAAGGTTCAGAACAATAAGCCTAGGAGATAAAGTTGTATTCCCAAAGTCTATATGTCCCTAAATTAACTCTTTGTAACGAAGAAATAGTGAACAAAGACGTAGGAAAAGGCCCGAAAAATGAGTTTCCACTCACAGCAAAAGTCTGCAAGTTGCGGAGTCCACTCATGTGAGGTGGGAGCTCTGATTCGAAGTAGTTATCATGAAGGTCGAGCATGAAAAGTTCCGTTAAATTGGTAAATGAAGTAGGAATAGCACCACTTAATGTGTTTTCACTAAGGTCTAGGTGCCTAAGATGGGTTAGGTTTCCAATTGAATTTGGAACTTGACCTACGAATCTATTGGAGACAAGATTGAGTTTCGTGAGATGAGAAAGGTTTCCTAAGGAAGAAGGAATCTCTCCATAGAGATAGCAGTTTTCAAGGTTTAGCTTTTGAAGATATCGGAGTTTAAAAAGACCACTATTTTGTTTCAAAGAATTGTTGAGGAAGACGGTATTAAGGTAAAGTGAAATCACCTCGCCAGATTTAGCATCGCACGTGACACCCTTCTAATAACAACAATCACTGGTCTTGTTCCATAAACTCATCAACGATGGAAATTTAGGATCTAGGTTGGATTGATTGACCGGAAACTCGTGTTTGAACTGCAAAAGAGCATCCCTCTGGTCATGGCGGCAATAATGAAGCTTAGGAGAAGCAAATGTGTGTAGAACGAAGAAAACCAAAAAGAGGGAAGAAAACGTAACAACAATCCCGGAGAAGCAATAAGATTGTTGTGGAATCATAATCACTTTTTCAGTTTGTGTGTGCGGTAAGTAAGTAAATGGCTGGCTTCTACGTATGTCTTTAAAAAGAAAATTTAAAAAAAAAAAACAAAATAAGTTTTTGGAGTTTAGTTCTTGACTTTAAAACTCTTCGGTCTTCTTATCCTATATAAGCCTCTATGCTCACTGATCAATGAATATGTGCCAGTTGTGTGAGACTTCTCCACATAGACTTCAGACTTGTCTGACTTATTCTTTCTTTATTATCTACCACATAATCCTAAAAACATAAGGTAGGCAATTTCATAAACTCCAAACATTATCTTATCGATTAGAAACAATTACTAAGTGATGCAAAATTGTAAGACCTTGCAAAAGCATCCAGTAGCAAACTTAGTCGTAAAATATCGAAAGTGTGTTGACATAGAACATCCAATTTCAGCACCATCAACGTACAATCATTGACCATAGTTTACAGAAATACATAGATAAGTAAAGATATCCTATAAAGGTAAAAATAATGAGAAAATTTGACATAAAGCAACTCTCCGATGTGGATGAAGCCGTCAAAGCCGAGACAAGTAAATAAGACGAGGAAGGCACCACCGGTTCAAGAGAAAAGTTCACCACCCAAATCTACCGCTTCTCTGACAAAGGGTTGTAAAAATACGGAGAAACAAAATACCTACCATCAAACCATATATTGGATATTCAAAAGTTGCTTCATAGACTTTTATCATCCTTGGTTGGTTTGTTTAATATTATGGTTAGGTTAAAGGAGTGGTCTTAAACACTCTGGAAGGAACGGAATGGAGGTAAACCTTGCGAGGTAGCAAACACGGCAACAACGATTATTGGCTGCGTGGATAGACAAATCAAAAACCAATTCAATAGTCGGGGGATAGACGATACGATAAAGGTTTCCAAAGGTGGCTGCAATCTTTTTCTTTCAAAATTTCAAAATTTTTAGTCTTTTTCTTTCAAATTTTAGAGGTGTCTAACATGCTCTCTCAACTTTTATTATTCAAATTTAAGTTGCACAAATTGTAAAAACGATAAAAAAATTTTTTGAATATAATTTAACATTAAATTCAAAAAAAAGAGTGATCTTAACAAATTTCATATCTTCAAAATTTATAGTTAACTCTTTTGTGTATAGTGTATTCTTTTTTTTTTTTGATCTTAGAGCTTAATTTTCAGGAGATTTTAGTTGTCTATCATCTTTGTCTCCATATAGTATATGAAAATTTGAATCAATTTAAAAGATGAACCGCACTTAAACATATCTTTGGACCGTCTTAAACCGCCAACGTCATTTAAGCCCAAACAATTATATGACCGTTAGTGATATTCTGCTTATTTATTCCGATTTTCATATAAACAACACAACGCTCTCTCTTAATCAAAGGAACCGATGAATCAAAACCCTAATTTCATTCTCATTCCCCTCTCGCTCTCACGTTGGCTCTAGTTCTATGGCTTCATTGCTTAAGTATGGAAGCAACAATGGAGGAATCAATCGGTAGTGTTGTGGTGATGATGATGATTGACTATTCTTATGAGTTTTTATCGATCGCGATGGTTCGATTTCATTATCGGAGGACGAAGGCTTGAATCGGTAGGTTTCTTTTGCTCTCTTGTTAATTATTTTTCATCGTTCTGTTTTGAAATTTAGATTCTTCTCTGTGAAATTGATTTCAAATTCGTGGATTTCATAAGAAACATAATCTAGGGATTACTGATTCTCTGATCTGTGGAAGCGAAGTGTTAGAATTAGGAATTGCATTCTCAATTCTAGGGTTTTTGATTACTGATTCTCTAAGTTTCATCGTTTATTGATTGATTCTCTTTGTCTAAAATATTTAGTCTTCAATAGATTACACTGTGCGTCGACTTTGTTTCTTTATCTTTTATGTGACTTCCCTTTGATGCAGTTTTAGTTCCTGAAATAGAGCAACGGATCATTCAAGGCAGAGCCTATGTGTAACTCCAACTATGTCTGTGAAGGAGTTTAATGTCAGATACATATGGCAGAAAAGGGGGATTCCTCTGAATTACGTTTTGACCAACTCAAGGAACTGTTCTGAAGCGGGTAGACTTTGCTACAGTATCAAAGTATTGGATTCTGGAGAATGCTCCAATTAATGACATGGGATATGCTCGTTCAATAGGTATGAACTTTAATTACTTGTAATTGCTGCTTCGTATTAATTGAGTTTTCAAGGAAAGATCTCCATTTGTGAAAACTGCAGGCTGCTCAATTTGTGGACCTATTAGCTTGAACTTTCTACAAACCAAAGACTTCTTCTGTGGAGTTTGGAGCTAATGAGGTGATTCTCATTACCAATAGTTTTAACCATTCCTTAAAAAGCTTAATTCATGCTTTTGATTTGGGACATGTTAGCTTGAATTTGGTTTGGATTCTGAATTTGCACTTAATGTTTTATATCAGGCTGGTTTAATTGGCTCAGGATGACTATGTTCCTGATGGTATAACGAGAGTGAGACTGGTGTAACAGAAGTGAGACTGCCCAGATTTTATAAATTCCCCATGCTCATATTCATCAAGCTGAAAAATGCATGGTCTCGAGGTAATCAAACTTATCTGTCTCAATGTCCTTGTCCCTTTGAGTGAATATGTTAGTCCCAATTTGGATTCCTAGTCATCGGGCTGCAAACAAATGCCTCGTCCCATACGAAGTAATCAAAATTACCTCTCATGTCCATGTCCTTGATGGTAGAAAAAAAATGAGACAGTCCAGGACTTTTAAATGGGTTCCTAGTCACTTATGTCAAATGAGATTCCCATTGATTTTGGGGTTTAGTCATCTGACCCAAAAACAAATGCCTCTATTGATGTAAATCAGGTAATTTCTTAACCCTTTGACGTGCTTAAAATTAACTCTTCAGTATCAATAGGCAGAAGTATGACATCCATGGAGCTTGTGGATTTTTTTATTCTGCATATGTGAGATAAGGTATGTGAATTTCTATTTCTTCTATATCTTATGTTTCGTTGTACTACTTCTTTTAAGCTTAATCTTCTTCTTTTTTGGTTTTATGTCGTTTAATAAATTCATGTTGTGTAAACATTAGGAGTATTAAACAACTTACATAGATATTCTAACATCACATATTCTTTGCAGGCGGCTGTTCTCCAGTTCTCAAAAATCAACATAAGACTTTCAGGTTATTCTTTCACTGCCTTTTTAAGACTTTAGAATATATCTTCTTCCTCATGTTTCCATTATAAGAACTGGAATATCTTTCAAAATTATGCATATTGCCTCTGCTTAAGTTTCTTTCTTGTTTTAAAATAAAGTATAGTACGGATTTATCCTTATTAGCATACTTTCTCCATGAAGGAAGATGAATTCCTATTAAAAGTTACTTAGTATATGGTAATTTCTAATCCAAATCAAATGGTTCAGTTTAAACTTACTTATTTTATGTTTTTCTTCTAACTTTGTTTCCGATGATTGATGATGATTTGTTACACTTGGTCTATAGGTTGAATAATGCTTGTTTCATTTGTAGTTATATTATTTCTTCTTGATGTTCTTGTTATGGTTTTCCTTGGTTATTCAGGTTTCAGCCACAATTTGATAGACTCGTGAGTCTATCACAATTGAATGAAATCATGTTATTATTCCTGTTACGATCATCATCATGTATAGTTTGCATTTACTCATTTTCTGAGTCTTATGACTTTGTTTCTAATGTTTGTACTCCTACCGGTTAGATAAAATTGGTAACATTTAATGCTTTTTAGTTTGCTATACTATTAGTTTTTTTTTTTAATCTAGTTTTGTTCGTAAAAGTTCTGCGGAGACTGAATTGGTGAGAGTAAAAGTATTGGTAGTGTAATAATGTCTTTAGGTGACTACACCTCGTTGTCTGTTACTTCTCGGTTCTCTTCTCTCTAGAAATATATTGTATAAAGTTTGTCTTAACTCCTTTTATGAGTCTTTTAACTCTGTTCTAATGTTTGTGATAGTATCATTTAGATCGAGCAGATTGCTACGTTTATTTTTTTTTGTTTAGCTTGCGATACTAATTGTTTTGGGTTTAGTTCTGTTTGTAAAAGTTCTACGAAGGACTTATAAGGTGGTGAGAAACATAGTCATTTAAATTGTAAATTGTGATTCTTTAAATTGTAAACTGTGATTCTTTGTGTAATTATTCATTTTGGATTGTAAATTATGAAAATCTGAAAGATGCATTTGTGACATTCAAGTATTAGTGGTATAATTGTTATTGTGTGTTTTCTTTCAAGTGTTATAGTGTAGGTAAACTATGTGACAACTAAATGTTGTTCCGGAAGGTCTTATACTTGTGTGTGCTTACTATATGTATATGGTGTTCACACTACTGATTGACCATTGTCTTCTCTGACTTGTTTAAAATGAATATACAATTGAGTTTTTTTCTGTTTAGTTTATATCTGACTCTTTAGAAAAGCTTATGTGTGAGAGATCTTATCAAGTTTGCCGTGATGCAATCCATCTTTGTTATGTTCTCTGACTTGTTTAAAATGATTGGTACGATGAGTTTTTTATGTGTAGTTTATATCTGATTCTTAGAGAAGCTTATGTCTGAGAAATCTTGTTAGGTTTGCCGTGATGCCAAATTTGTCATGTGTAAACAGAGGAAGTTGTATGCAGCAATCGAACATATGAAAATATTTGATTAGATGGAAGAGTGCATTGTTCTCTCGGTGAATTCCTTATTGCTAAGTTACTTCCTTAGTTTCTTTGTCTCTCTTGAAATATATTATGTGGTACTTCTGTTTTGTATGTTCAAGCTCTGTTGGTTATCTTTTTGTGTTTAGTCTTATGCTCTTTTCTTTAAGATTTTTCAGTGATGGAGTGTTTTAGAATATATTTTTGATGTCTTAATTCTAGGTATGCTTAATTATGTATATGATTACGCAGTACCGATTTGATTGTTTTTTTTCTCTGTCTAAATACATTACACTTCTCATTTTCATTTTCGTAACGACAAGTGGTTGGTTTTCCAGTCTTTATAACTAGTTTTGTTCTTAACCTTGATCACTAGACTATGCTCTGTTTCTCACTCGTTGAGTACTCTCTCTATAATATTACTTGGGATCTGACGTCTGGCGAGACGAAGCGGTTCAAATCGAACCGTGAACTAAATAATTTTCTTTGTGCTAATTTTAGTTATTTTTCTTTTCACGTGATGTTTAAGTTCTTTCTCAGTCTGCGTGAGTAATCAATTAGATTGAGGATAGAAACTTCACAAATATAGTTTCCTACACAGAATGAGGGAGACAACGAGTAAAAATGGGTATAACCAAATGGGATTGTCAAATCTGTAACATTCGAACTAAAATCATAGGAAATTCAGAAACCAATGAGGGAAAGACTTCAAATCATAGGAAATAATTTTCAAATCGGTGTCAAATCTGTAACCGAGATGAATTGGGGTCTGCGATTTATATATTTTTCTATATATTATTTCAGTTTGTGCTAGCTCCCTTTGAAGCTTGCTCGTTGGAGAATAATCCCAGTTAAGGCATTCTGTTCAAGTGTGAATGTGGATTGGGTGATGGCTCGCCCTCTCAAAGTTCTCTTACCTATACTAAACTGGTTTTACAGCTTAGACAATCTCCTGTTTCTTGGAAGACAGCATGTATATTGGATATTAGTGAGTGAGATCATTTAGTTATATGCGTTTCTCTTGTCGATTTAGATCTCTCATGACAGTCTCACTCTCCTTCATCGCTAAAGTAACCAATGTACTAACCAAATGACTATTATGATATTCAACAGATTAGCAACTGATACTTGAACACTGTCCGTGAGATATCAAAATCAAACATATATAGCCACCTTCCAATTAAAATTCACCTAAGTTAGTTAAAATAGTATAATTGCAGTGTCACTACAGTTTAGATGGACGTGTTATGTCTTTTACATTCTCAAGCTATAAGTATTTGTTTGCTGTAAAACTGCTTTCCTAGAGCCATTTATAAATTAGTGAAAAATCAAGACATAGCTCTGTAGAGTATAGACTGATGCAAAACAGAACAAGCTCATTTACACATCAAAGCTATATAAATACGTTGCAATGTGAAGTTTTTTATAGGTTAGTAGGTAGAGTCTTTTATTATTTTACAGATTAGTTAATCTCATACAATTATTTCAGGGTTGAAATTTGAATGCATTTCCAAGCCAATATGGTAATATATATCAGATACCAACAGCCACGAAAGAAGTTTATTACAATACCATAAATTAAGACATTACAACAGATAAAGAAGTTTTCGGAGAACACATCGTGATACAGACACATACATAAGCTTGACAAATGCTTAGAGAGATGACAAGAGAAAGTGTTCAACGAACACTTATAATGAGTGCTCTGGACTTGTTTCTACCAAACTTTTCCATGAACCACTCGTGCTTGTGTGAAACGAAGATATGTCCGATCACCAATCCGCACAATACACCAGGTCCATACGCTATTGCCGCTGCTATCCAATTAATCACTGGCTCCTCGGGTTCTAATATTTCCTCTGGTTCTTGTGGTGTAAGGTTCGAGACATGAGGTTTTCCACAGATGTCCTCGAGATTGGAGAGTCTGGGATTGTCCATGAATGAAGAACAATTTTGGCGCTGAAACTGTGTGCCTTGTGGTATTGGACCTTCAAGATTGTTGTGGGCGAAGTTCATAGTTGACAAAGAGAAGAGCTCATCAAGATCTGGGGGGATCGGACCTGACAGCTGATTCTTGGATACATCTAATGACTCGAGAATTGTCAAATTTGCCAATGATTGAGGTATATTGCTTGTGAAAGCATTATTCGACAAGTTGAGATAACGTAATCCTTTCAGCAAGCCAATGGATTCAGGGATCTTTCCATAAAAATTGTTGCTTGAAAAATCAATGGATGTATAGTCTTCACGAATCTTCTCAAACTCTGTATCTACACCTTTGTGCACTAGTTCCATTGAACTACTGTAAAAACCAGAACCCCTCATGAAAAATCCCACGTAATATCCCATGTAGGGGTCAAAATATGAGCTTAGTTTAGTTATTTCACTCATTTCAAGCCAATTGGAAAAATATAATGTGGGCAAGGTTCCACTGAAGTCATTATGTGAGACATCAATGATTTTTAATGTTTTAAACCCAGTGGAGACTAATGGCCCATAGAATTGATTTGATCTGAGGATGAGGACACTTAAAATTGGAAGAGAACCCAACCAAGATGGAAACTTGTCCTTGAATTTATTTCCTTCAACATTCAATAGTTCCATGGATGTGCAATTGATCAAGGATTGTGGGAGTTTTCCTTCCAACTGGTTGCGGCTAACAACAAGTTCGGTTAAACGAGAAGCATTGACAAATACATCTGGAAGAAGCCCACTGAAATTGTTGTTTCGCAGGTTAAGCACTTGAAGTGTTTCAGTGAGACTCCTTACACATGGAGGAACTGAGCCGTTGAAGCTATTGTTGGACAAATCTAAGAGCTTTAGCGATCTAAGCCTGCAGATCCAGTGGGGAAATGGTCCTTGGAGTGAATTCGAATCAAGACGCAACTCAAGCATTTGTGCTTGATCCATCATAACTTGTGATGATTTTCCAAAACTACTAAACGAGTTGTGAGAAAGTCTCAGCGATTTCAGTCTCCGTAAGCAACCTGGAACTTTTCCTTCCAACTTATTGTTGGAAAGATCTAACATTTCGAGTTTGAGAAATTTGGATATCGATTCAGGGATTTGGCCATCGAATTTGTTATCACCAAGGTCTAGAAAACTAAGGTTGGACGATGGCAATATATTCCCAAAATCAATAGTTCCATCGAATTGGTTTCTCGCCAAATAAACCCATTGTAACGAAGGCATCGTGAATAAGTATGCAGGGAAAGGACCATGAAATGAGTTATTATGCAGATTTAAGAATCTGAGATTGAGTAATCTAAATATAGATTCAGGGATTGGGCCATTGAATCTGTTATCAGCAAGGCTTAGGTACTGAAGCGTAGAAGATAAAGATGCGTTCCCAAAATCTATAGGTCCTGTAAAGTTATTTCCCCCGAGATAAACCCACTCTAACGAAGGAATGGTGAACAAAGATGTAGGAAAAGACCCGAAAAATGAGTTTCCCTTCACATCAAAAATCTTTAAGCGGTGGAATCGACTCATGTTGGGTAGAGGCTCGGGTTCAAAGTAGTTATAACTGAGACCGAGTGTGAATAATTGCGTAAAATTGGCAAATAAAACAGAAAATTTGCCACTTAACTTGTTTCCGTGAAGTCTGAGGTGTCTTAGTTTGGTCAAATTTCCAATTGAAGCTGGAACTTGACCAACTAATTTATTATGCCCAAGGTCAAGCTCTATGAGATGAGAAAGGTTCCCAAATGATGAAGGAATCTCTCCGTAGAGATCACAATTTGAAAGGGTTAGCCTTTGAAGATATTGGAGTTTAAAAAGACCACTATTTGGTTTCAAAAAGTTGTTGAGAGAGAGGTTAACAAGTTCAAGTGAAATCACCTGGCCATATTTAGCAACGCACGTGACAGCCCCCCAAGAACAGCAATCACTACTCTTGTTCCATGAACTCATATCGTAGTCACTACTCAAGGATGACTTCATATCTGCTCCCGGAAACTCGTGTTTGAACTCGAGAAGAGCATCTCGTTGGTCATGGCGGCAAAGATGGACGGTAGGAGAAGCAAGTGTATGTAGAACGACAATATACAAGGTAATAACAATACCAGAAAAGCAATAAAATTGGTTTGGAATCATTATTACTTTTTTTTAGTTTGTGATGGGTTCTAATTATGGCTTCTCCAGCTCTCTTTATAAAAGAAAAATCAATTGTGGAGCTCTAATGACTTTGGGTCAACTCGTAGGTCTTCCACCTCATAAATTTAAACCATCACACACTCTATTGACTTGATGCTTGTCGATTTCATTATCTTTAATATAATTTCGTGTGGGTAAAAAAAACGAAATAACCAACAAAGCATATAAAAGTCTTGACAAGGAGTTACGTTAGGGCTTGACTTGGTTTGTGATGATTATAAACTGCAGTAGTTAGCTTTTGTAGTATTGTCAAATTAATAGATTCAATAGTTTTTGATAGACATGATTAAGTTTAATATATGTTGTAGTCAGGCTTGTAGATCATATATGTGTTCGACTAAATGTCTCATTTAAATTTTCTTTTCATATACCGTAGATGGAATTTTCTACATGTATATTAGTCTCATCTTATGTGTGAAACGTGAACTGTTGGATGAAACGTTGTTATTTAATATCTATCAACAGAGATCTTAAAAACGTTGATTTTTCTAAATAGAATTGAGCTACATGTAAAACAATCTTTCATACTATTCTGGATATATATTATATATATATAACGTGAGCTAGCTAATTTCATAAATTCTAAACAAAAATTAACAAGCTAAGTGTCCCACTAAACTACTTTTCCTTTACAGTCTCTAAATTACAAAGCTCTAGATGCCAGATCGAAAGTTTTACATACGAGAAATGGAAAAGCCGATATAAACATCGTCAAACAGCAAGTTGATACGTTATAGAAGAGAAACACTAAAAACCAAGGTTATATATCTCAGTTATATTGCATAAATTCATTGAATAAAAACCTAACATTGGAACGATAGACTAAAGAGAAACACCCTCAAATTGCCACTAAATTCATTCGGGAAAACGGTCTATTTCCTTCCCCGTGAACTTAGTTACTTAGTAGAGAAACACCAAAAACTAAGTTTATATATTCTCAGTTATATTGCATAAATTCAATGAATAAAAACGTAAGATAAGAACGATAGACTAAAACACAAAACTTTGCCTCTGAATTAATTTATTTATTGATTCATTGTTGTTAAGTGGTTAACTAATATCGTTTCGGTATATGTTGATTTTGGCTGATTTCATATAGTTTAGGTTGAGAATTTGAAGTTTTTGCGAGTTTAAGTTGCTATTTGTCGGATATCATAGTATGGGTATAAAAAAACCGTCAGCAAATATATAATCTGTGTTGATTTTCGCTATTTTCCCATATCATATCAATTCACTTGCTCCGGAACCTATATTCAACCTTTTTTCCTTTGTTTAACTTGTAAATTGCTAATGAAGATGAAAGAAACAAAAGAAAAGATAGATTTAATCACGAATGAATATTTTTGTGTTTCTATATAAAAATAATATAAGATAATCTCTTTCATTACCCCAAACACAAAAAGCCGCATATATATTTCCAAAACCAGGAGACATTGCATATATCTTTCGATACTCTTTGACAGCTTTCTCATCTGAAAGAACACCGAAATAATCTTAACATATATGCTCACGCGCGAACTTAACAAAAATCTGAGATCAAAGAACGTGACCTTTGCTACAAGTTTGAGAAGAGAAACCACGACAAGCTGGACTAAGACACAACGCCGCAGCGGAGACGGTAACACTGCACAACGACAGATCTAAGATTTGGATACGTAAGATTCACCATGCAATCTTAACCAGTTTTGATAGATGTACGTAGACTCTAATAAATTTTGTACGTCACTTTCATATCATATTCGTCAGTCGTCATGAATCATAATTCATAATCATTTGATATTAAAAGGTTCCAAAACGGTCACGGTAATCCCGATGACACGTAAAAGTGAGGAAACAACCTCGTATGCTCATTTATTAATTAAGTTTCTCTTTTTTTGTAATAAAGTTTTAGACTTTTCTGCGACGTTTAATATGGTTTGGAAAAAAGAAACAATAAAAGAGATACGTATGTAAATAAAACAAACAAACAATTAAAGAGATACTACTGGATTATACAAATTGTGTCATTATGCAGAAAATGATACTACTGGGGTCAGTGTAATTATCGGAATCTATGTCTTACTACATTTGCGTTCCTTGTTATGGAATCTTTGAAAGAAAAAATAATTTTTACTTGCTAATTACTAGCTGATTATTGGACTTTAGAAAAAACAAATTTTTTAAAAATCTTTTTTAAAACGAAATTTCCAACTATTTTGATTATTAATTCTTTTTCGAAACACGATCGGTTAACACAACGAAACGAAGCCATCTCCGTGAGGTTGCGCAATAAAGCAGCCGTGTTTCATAAGCCAACTCTTATCTATCACCTCCGGCGTAAATACGCCCCAGGATCCTACCGGCTACCTATTCACCACGTGATGAGGTTAACACACATAATTTGAAAAGATCATCATAACAAATTTGCAATTTTAGCTAAAAATAATTTTTACTCTAATTGTAGCAAAAATATGACACAGCTTAATAACAAAGAATTTAGTTTTTATTATGGAGTATAGTTCTTTTCCTTGAATCAACTTGTTCGTCATCTTTTTAATCAATCTGAATTCTAAAATTATGAACTTGCTCATTTTCATGACTAAAGACACTGTTACTAACTCAATCGTCCTTCTTCAAATAGATTTTACATGTCTAATTTGTATGCTTCCATTTCACTTCCACTTTACTTTCCAAGGACCTATATGACCCAAACTGCCACGGAAGAAATTTATTACAAAAACATAAATTAGATAATTACAACATATAAAAGAGTTTTCGGAGAACACATATCGTGACAAAATATCACAAACACGTACATAAGCCTGACAAATGCTTAGAGAGATGACAATAGGAAGTGTTCAACGAGCGCTTCTGATGACAACTCTAGGCTTGTTTCTACCAAACTTTTCCATGAGCCACTCGTATTTGTGTGAAACGAAGATATGTCCAATCATCAACCCACAAAAAACACCAGGTCCATACGCTATTGCTGCTGCTATCCAATTAATCACTGGCTCCTCAGGTTTTAATATTTCCACTGCAGGTTCTTTGGGTCAACTCGTAGGTCTTCCACCTCATAACTCATTATCTTTAATATAACTAGGTTGTGAACCCACGTTACGCGTGAGTTTATTTGATATATTTTGGTAAAATTATATTTGATTGATGATAGTTATAAAATTTTTATATAGATAGTTAGATTACTATTAAAGCATAAAAATTCATTTCAAATACAACACTTTCAAAAATTATAAATCAATTTTGTTAAAGAATCAAATAAGATCAAAAGAATCATGAATCAATCTTGTTTTTTTCATATTTAATTGGGCACAAACACCTAAGTCTTCTTATTTTTTCTCACATTCATTGTTTTCATATTTTTCATATATATAAGGGCGAAAATAGTTTATGTCCACACAAATCACTTAGACAATGTATCTATCAACTCGTTGGTGAGCAAGAGAGGATGTTGGGGTGGGAACTACAGTTGATCACCAATATTGAGGGTTTGGTGCATTTCCTTGTACTTTTAGGTTTTCTTTCTTAGGCGTTTTTCGGGCTACTAATGGTTTACTTAAACAGAAGTAAATCATGTTGTTGCCTTTTAGCTTCATAACTTTATCTGACAGTTTCGCAGCACATATTTCTTCATAGTAATACTTAATAAGTTGATATAGGTCAACATAGGCTTATATATGAACTCTACATCTAGGGTGGAAGAGGGCCTAGTTTCAACATCAATGGCACGAAGCATGTCTTCTTTATGCTTTCTTTCACTGATATCTTTATTTTCTGCAACTAAACTTGTATTTGGGCCATAACAACCATTTATACTTGATGCAATTTTGCACTTAAATGATACACGACATTCTCTTCGTTTCATCATTTTTTTCTATAAACAATCACGACGCCTTTTTATTACACATGTTCCATAAAGAGAAATAAATATGGAAATAGCTGGAATTATCTTCAAGTGCAACCAAACAAATAAATGGTGTTTAACATATACTCCAGCTAATACTTTCCTGGAGCGACACCTAGCCAATTTTTCTTGTTTCTGCTATCATTGATAATTTTTCTTCATATCCAATACTTCTACATTAGTAATAAACTCTAATTGTGGCTGACGACTCTGAATTTACAGCTTAAATAATATGATCAAATGTGATGGCTCTTCTTATTATTTATAATAAAATGATGTAGGGTTAATCGAATATGTATTTGTGGTAATATTCTTTTTCTAGTTAAAAAATAAGGATTAAGAAAATAAGGATTAAAAATGTAAGTTTTATATATTTCATCTATTGTTTTTCAAAAGTTTACAATTCTCTTTTTTCTTTATATTTCTTTTTCCTTTTTATTAATATTTTTTATAAAAAAGAAATAGAAGTTAAAAATGTTAATTAATAAGATAGTAAAACATTAACTAATTAGATGTCTAATCCCGATTGGTTGTTTAAAATCCCACGTGGACGCTCTCAAAAGCTTATAGCCTCAACTTTTATATAGTATAGATTTCGTGTGGATTACAACAAAATAACCAAAAAAACATACAAAATTCTTGATAAGGAGTTACGTTAGGGCTTGACTTGGTTTGTGAGATGATTATATATAAACTGCAGTAGTTAGCTTTTGTAGTATTGTCAAATTAATAGATTCACTAGTTTTTGATAGACTTGATTAAGTTTAATATATGTTGTAGTCAGGCTTGTAGATCATATATGTGTTCGACTAAAGGTCTCATTTAAATTTTCTTTTCATATACCGTAGATGGAATTTTCCACATGTATATTAGTCTCATCTTATGTGTGAAACGTGAACTGTTGGATGAAACGTTGTTATCTATCAACAGATATCTTAAAAACGTTTATTTTTCTAAATTGAATTCAGCTACATGTAAAACAACTTCTTGCATGTGTGAACAAAAATTATTCAAGGAAACAACTTCTTGCATATGTGAA